AAGCAATGAGAATATATTGCTGAATCCCAGAAAGTTTACTTTGCTTTGATTGCTCAATAAAGGACCTATGGGTCATTAATTTCTTTTTTCTTTTTAAGAGTGGGGTTTGGGTGTAATTTATAAAGCTATTTTAAAAGAAGTATTCCAAAGAAGTATTCCTGCAGTGGTCTTTTGTCTTTAAGTGGTTGAAATGTCTGTGTGGCAAAGGTGCTGCATTTAAATGTTACATGATGGGAAGGTGGAGTTGTTCTTCTTTTGTGTGTAGTACTTGGGGTTGAACCCAGGGCCTTGCGTGTGCTAGGCAAGTGCTCTACCACTGAGCTGAATCTCCAGGCTGAAGGTGGACTCTTGAACAATGGATAATAAGGGAGCTGATTAAATGTTTTTGTTTGTTTGTTTTTTTAAATTTTTTTGAGACAGGGTCTTTCTATGTAGTTCAGACTGGCCTCAAGCTCTAGCCTCCAGCCTCCCTGGGATTACAGTTTCTGTGAATTTGAAGAACAGATGTTGCTAGCCAGGCATGGTGGTGCATGCCTATAATCCCAGCACTCAGGAGGCTGAGCCAAGAGGATAATTTTGAGTTCAAGACCAGCCTGGGCTACAAAGTGAGCTCAAGGCCAGCCTGAACTGCCCAACGAGACCCTGTCTCAAAAACACCAAAAGAAAAAGAAGTTGCTATTTTTAATCCTTTCATTTTTATTATAGTTTACTAGATGGTACAGCTTTGCAAAAATGTATATAAAATCATCAATGTGCATTGTGTACATGGTGATTATTGGGTTTTCATTGCACCCATTCTTTTTCTTTTTTTTTTTTCCTTTAAGGTAGGGCCTCACTATATAGCCCAAGCTGGCCTTCAGCTTGCGATTCTTCTGGACCATGCCCTGCTTCATAGTGAGACAGCAGTGTGTGTGTGTGTGTGTGTGTATGTGTGTGTGTAGATGAAGTCTTGCTAATTTTCCAGGCTGGCCTCAATCTTTTGTCCCCTTGCCTCAGCCTCCTAAGTAGATGGCACTATAGGCACCTGCCACCACACTGGCTGCTTGTTACAGTCCTTTTTACAAGAAGCACAGAGAGTGAGAGAACAGTGTGGCAATTTATAACCCAGATGCACAAAAGAACTTTGGAATTATTAACTAAAATGAGTGTCTCTTTTTTTTTTCCCCAGTTTTTTTTTTTTTTAGTTTTACTTTTAGTTTTCCTGTATATGCCAGGTTGACCTTGAACTCACTGTAATCTTCCTGTGTCAGCCTCCCAAGTGCTGGGATTACAGGCATGCACCACTACCATGCTTGGTTTAAAATGAATCTTAATTCTGTGTATGTGTGTGTGTGTGTGTGTGTGTGTGTGTGTGTGTGTACTGGAAATTGAACTCAGGCCTTGTACTTGCCAGTCAGGCACTGTGCCACTGAGCTATATCCCTGGGCCTATATATATATTTTTTTCTTTTTGAAACAGGATCTCACTATGCAGTTCAGCCTGGTCTTGGATTCACTTTGTAGCCCAGGCTGGCCTTGAACTCACACATCGATCCTCATGCCTCAGCCTCCAGAGTGCTGGGATTACAGGCATGTGCCACCACGTCTGGCCCTGCCTGGTATTTATGTTTTAAGTCAGTCATTGGACAAAATTTTTGAACTTTGTTTCAAGCTTTTTGTCAGTCTACCAAATGTTGACCTGATAGCTGTAGCCCTGACACTATTCCTTGTTTTACAAGCAAATGTACTCAAAGGTTGTTTACCTTTATTGTCTCATATTTCATTTACTTTTTTTTTTCCTTTTATTTTTTGAGACAAGGTCTTGCTATGTAGTGGTCTAGGCTGGCCTTGAATTTGCAATGATAGTCCTGCCTCAACCTCAAAAATGCTGGGATTATAGGTGTGTACCACCAGCCCCAATTACTCTTTACCCCATTATAAACTAACTTCCACCCCTTCCGTGCATTCATGGGTTCTAATCCTACTATTTGTGAGTGGGCGCTTCCCATCACTTCCAGCTTCATGAACTGTTCTTTCTCAGAGTTTCCTCCTGTCTCTCTGGTTGTTTCTCTGTTTCCTTCAAGGTGCTTTTAGTTTTACTCATGAATTTTCCAGAATTATGTACTAAAACTTTCTTATTTTTCATCCATCTGTGTTTGTGGTTCTGTCCTCCATGGTAATGTTTCCCTGATGTGTGTCTGGAACTTGGTCATTTTGTCTCAGTACCATGCCTGAAATTATAATTAACCCAATTCAACTGCCCTTAAATTCAACACTGTAATATCCTTTAAAACCTATACAATAACAACCAAAAAAAAAGCCCTATGCAACCTTTACATTGTCTTGTTTTGGTACAAAATTTCACTTAATTGTATCAATTTCTGGTACAAACGTACATCATATTGCTCAGATTTACCCTGTTTTATCTATTTCTGGTACAAACCTACATCATATTTCTCAGATTTACCCTGTTTTATCTATTTCTTTTTTCTATAATTCATGCTGTGATGGAAAAATACAGTGTATGTTTTAATAAAAAATTATTACAGTTGCCAGGCGTGGTGGTGCATGCCTGTGATCCCAGCACTTGGGAGGCTGAGGCGGGAGGATCATTGTGAGTTCAAAGCCAGCTTGGGCTACAATGTGAGTTCAAGGCCAGCTTGAACTGCCTAGTGAAACCCTGTCTCAAAAAGACAAAAAAAAAAAATTACAGTTAAAGACATATTGCTGCTAATCCCCTCAAAATACTTTTTTCTTTACTTCCTTTGAACACAATCCATCATTCTTGATACTTTCTGAAGCACTTCTGGAAATCCTCTTTGGTGTCTGTAGCTGTGCTTTTGTGGCTGTCTTAGGGTCCTGAATTGATTGAAGAAGCTTACCTTTCATGTTCATTTTGACTTTGTGAAAGATCCAGAAGTTACATGGAGCCAGATCTGGTGAATAGGTAGATGAAAATGCAGTGTAATGGTTTTACAAGCCTGCCTTGCCGTCAGACTGCACTCGGTGGCGCTCAGCATTCCTACTTTTTTTCATCATACCTTGTACAGACACTTGAGACTTCCAGAATTGCTTCAGAGAGTGGCAAGAACAATGGAATATGTGTATTTGAATGGGGTGGGTGTGTATCTTGAGGGGGAATTAATGCCAATGTGTCTTTTACTATAATAATTTTTAAAATTTAAATATTCAGATTCAGGCACAGTGTTACATGCCTATAATCTCAGGAGGCTGAAGCAGGAGGACTGCTGTGAGTTAAAGGCCAATACGGGCTACATAGTGAGCTCAAGACCATTCTGAGCTGCACAGTAAGACCCTCTCTCAAAAAAAAAAGAAAAATCCCTAAAAAACTTAGCATATTTTTCAGTCACCTCTTATTCTATTCTTATCTCTTGCTGGATATTGTGACCTTCCTGTCTTTAGCTTAACCTTTCTGTCTCTAGATTGGCCTTTATTGAGTCTGTCATTTTCACTGCCACCATAGTGGAAAAATACATGTATTGTTGTTCTGAAATGTATTGTTGTAGTATGTTCTAAAATGTATTGTTGTAGTATGTAATTCTTTATCTAAAAATATTTTTTGGGATTCTTATTACTCAGCAGTACTTTCACATATCTACCCATGTCCTGCCTGCTTTTGAATCATTTAGAGCATTTTTTTTCCCTCTTAATTAAGTTTATCATTTAGAGCATTTTGAATTGCTCATATTCTATAACCAATTCCAAATCAGTGTGGAATTTAGAAATGTAAATTCTGGCAATTAAACATTAGGGCCTTTTCACTGAGCTGTATCCCCAGCCCATTTAAAAAGTTTTTTTAATTTGAGGCAGTGGCTCACTAAGTTACCCTGGCAGGGGTTGAATTTGTCATCCTCCTCATCCTCCCAGAGTGCTGGGATTACAAGTATTGTGCCGCTGCACCTGGTTTAGAATTTAGGGATTCAAAAAGTTTACCGGATGGTTTTGGCAAGCATTCAAGGTTGATGGAATCAGTGACTTGTGTGTGTGGTTTAAATTTATTTAGTGTTTTTGGTTTTGGTTTTGGTTTTAGTTTTTTGAGACAGGGTCTCACTATGTAGTTTAGGCTGGGGTGTTGATCTCTGGCTAAAGCCTCCTGAGTTCTGGGATTATAGCTGTGCGCCACAATGACCAGTTTCACTAAGTCTTTAAATTGCCTGGTTGGGTTATATAGCCAATCCTCTTGCCTGAGACTCTCAGAGTGCTGGCCCTGCAGGTGTGCGCCACCATGCCTGGCTGATTTTTTTTGTACTGGAGATTGAACCCAAGGCCTTCACACTTGAGGTCCAGCTCCAGCATGATGTTTATTTTCCAGCCAGCACATCTTTGAATTTCACACTTGTAACTCAGGTTGAAAACCATTGAGCTTTCCAAATAAATGAGGCCCAGAAAGATTAGTGACTTGTTAAAGTCATGTAGTAAGGAGTGGCAGAATCTAAAATTCAGTGGTAGTGCACATCTGTAATCCAGGAACTCAGGAAGCTGGCAGCAGGACTGTGAGTTTGAGGCTAACCCAAGCTACACACCAAAGTCAAGGCTAGCCTGGGTTACACAGTGAGACCTTGTCTTTTTTATTTTCTTTTGAGACCTTCTCTTAAACAACAACAAATTAAAATGTAGGTTTATATTTCTAACATGGTTCTTATTTATTGCTCTTCTGTCCTTTCATATGGGTTATACTTGAGCAAGTTGATCTGAAATGACCTGAATCTCTGAATCTTTTACTGAATCTGAATCTTTTACTTTCTAAGTAATTTACCATTTATTTGTTCCCTTATTCATTCATCTTTTATTTATTAATTCAATAAATATTTATTTGATTACACAAGGAACAGTACAAGACCTGGGGAGTAGGTGGGTAAAATTTTTGAATGATGTAAATTTCCTATCTTTAAGGTCTCAACATATATATTTTTTATATTAAATCATAAAAAAATTAATTTTTTAGAAGAAAAATTATAGTATTTTCTTTTCCATTGTTTTCTTTCTTTTCCTTTTACCCAGGGAAAGACCATGTTTGTAGATTTATTGGCTGTGGGAGGAATGATCGATTCAACTATGTGGTCATGCAGTTGCAGGTAGGTTACCTGGAAAATGTATCTCAGAATCTTTTCATTTTGCTCAGAATACCCAATTACAGTGGATATGAATAAAAATGAAAATAGTCTTGATGTCAGTATTTTATATTGTACAGGTGGAACTTATTTAAATACACTTGATACAGATTTTCTAAAAATGAAATGGTTGTCCTTGTCAGCTATTTTGGTTGACTTGTATATTCACTGATTGTCATCATTGCAAAGTCTTAATCCCAGCATGGATTGTGGACTCTAAAGTCTTGCCCTATTCCTGTTGTTTCCCTCCATGTTTGCTTCTTAGACACTTCAATTTCCCATTTATGTTTCCAGGTGACAGCCGTGGTTACTTAAAAATTTAAGCAATAGTTAAGATACAAGATAAATGTCATTCCTCTGTTTGTCTTTCTCTCACTTTTTTTTTTTTAATATAGTACTTGATATTAAATCCAGGGTCTGCAGACTGAGCTACTTCACTGGCTCTTTAAGATTTTATTTTGAGACAGGGTTTCACTAAATCACTAAGTTGGCTGGACTAAGCGTGAGCCTGACCCCTGCATCTCTGTGTCTGCCTCTGTGTCTGTGTCTGTGTATCTCTCTTCTTCAGTCTCCCTTGTTGCATTTGTCTATCTGTCTCTCTCTGCAGTGCTGAAAATCAGTCCCTCATCCCTGCATACACTAGGCAAGGGCCCTACTGTTACTAGGTAACCTGCTTCTAAAAGTGGCTCACCAACTACATGTTACTGGGTTCTGGGTTGCTCGCATCTCCCTCTGGAGTTAGGGTTCAGGTTCTTCTCATTTCAAACAAAGAACTGAACAAAATGAGCAAAAAACAGTGGCCAAGTTTACTAGAGAAAGTAAAAGTAGGGCTGGGGATATAGCTCAGTGGCATAAGCACCTGCCTGGCAAGCTCAAGGTCCTGAGTTTGATTCCTGGTACCAAAAAAAAAAAAAAAAAAAGTAAAAGTGAAGAGTGGGAGAGAATGGCTCTACAGAGCGAATTTGGGCCAGGTAAAGAGAAAAAGAGGGTGAAGAAAAGATAAAAGTACGCGCTGTCTGGGAAACACAGAATGCATTATTGTGGAAAGTTAGAATAGCAAGCTCTTCATAGCATTAGCGTGTCCTTTATATTGTTCAAATGTGTAGGAAACCCTTGAGAACTTCTTCATAGGGGTCCTGAGAAGTGGTGTTTGAATCTCACATCGCAGGCTGAAGTCAGGTCTAGGCCATCCTATTGAAAATCTGCTTGAGTTCTCCCGAGAAGTCCATGTATAGGGTTTGGGGACCTTTCTACACATGTATGGGGATCTTGTAATTAACTGGCCACACTTACTCCCCCAGCCAGCTTTGCCACACTGTAATCTCTTAACTCACTACCACTGAGCTACACTGCTAGCCCTGCCTCTCCTTCCACCATTAACATAGCCCTGTTCCCTCTCTTGTAGATGGAGGTAGAATTGGGTTGAAAGGAAATTCAGCAAGGGACTATAGAAGTATTATCTACATCAAGAGAAGAGGAAAGAATTCAATTTTCACTGACATTCTTCTGTCGCTGAACACATACACATGGGCATGCACACTACAGCAGCCGTCAACATTTGAAAGCCATGGTGCACTTTGCTGCCGAATAGCAAATTTGCAGGCTTTCATCTTTAGCAAACTTTATTTTGGGCATTTTATTTCTTTATTTTGATTTACCTTACCTACCTAATGTTGATTTCAGAGACATTGATTCTCGTCAGAAGGTTTTCTCTTTTCCCTCAGTTATCTTTCAGCATTTGGTATTAACCTCCACATAGACTTTAGTCTGAAAATCTTTTGAGTTATGTGATTTACTGTCTCTTGAGCCAGGAGTTTTATTTCTTGAAGAGCTACCCTTGTTCATTACTATGTACCCTGCTTTTTCTCACCTTGCCCAGGATTGTTCTATGTTATTTTATACTCTGATTCTCCCCCTAACCCCATAAGGGGAGAGGACAGGTTTTATCACCATTTTACAAAGGGAGAGGCTGAAGCTGAAGGAGGTCTTTGGTTTTCCTGGAAATAACTTATTCGGTTTTAAGGCTTAAAAGTCTGAGGCCAATATTCTTGCTGTAATAGAGAAAACTATTTTATCTTCAGGTTAGTACTGAGAGATTATTTAGAGCAGTTTTTGTTAATCTACAGTGTCTAATCTCAAGACATCCTCTTAAACTCTGTCCTTTCTTTTTAAAGTTTTTTTTTGTGTGTGTGGTGGTGGTAGGGATTGAACACAGAATGTCATATATGCTAGGCGAGCACTCTACCACTGAGCTACATGCGTAGGCTCATTTAAAATCTTACATTCACCTAAATAGCGCTTTCTGTAAATAGAAGTCTCTTAATACTGGGAAACATGAGGAAACATATATATCATGTAACAATGGCTTTTGTGGCCTTTGGGATGCTCCTCAAGATTTATTCACGAACTTTTCCACTTGACATGTATGCTATATTTTTCCCCTTGTCATAAGAAAGCTAATCCACTGTGAAACCCCTATCCATATATTTAATGTTTGACTTGATTTGAGACAAGGCTAAAGTTGAGGATTTGTGGTTTTCCCAGGACTAATTTAACTGGTTTTTTGTTCATTTTGTTTTGTTTTTGAAATGAATGTCACTGTGTAGTTCTTAAGCTTGCTTTCTTTTTCTTTCTTCTTTTTGAGATGAGGTCTTGCAATATAGTTCAGACTGGCCTTGAATTCACTATGTAGTTAAGGCTGGCCTTGAACTTGCAATAATCTTCCTATCTCAGCTTCCTGAATGCTGGGATTATAGGCATGCACCATTACACAGGTGTAAATTTATTTTAACCTATTGTTTTCCCTTCTTTTGTTTTCTTGTACTTTTCTGTTTTTATTGACATGATAAAAGTGGAGTCATCTGACATGTAGAAATCCATGTATCTTGGGTTTTGCTGGTTATTTCCATGTGGCAGGGTTTAACATGTTTTTCTAAACTGAGCATGATGGTTCACACCTGTAAACCAAACCCAGCATTCCAGGAGACTGATGCAGGAGGATCACAAGTTTGAGCCCAGTATGGACAACTTAGGAACTTTGGCAGACACTGTCTTGAAATTTTTAAAAAATATTTTAAAAGGGCCAGGAATGTAGCTCAGTGCAAAGGCACAGGCTTCAATTCTGTGTACCTCAAAAGGGGGAAGAAAAAAAAGAAAAGAAAAAAGTTCTCCTGTCCCTTACATTTCCTGTGAACTGGAAAGTAAATAAGATTCCAGTTTGGCAGGTGGATAAGAAGAATTAAGATGGTTTATATACATGTACCAACTGCACATAATAACTATGTTCTGTAAACATGTACTCATAAAAAATGGTAAAAGACTCCAGTTTTCTTTCATTTGGCAAAAGTACTTCAGATGGAGATTATGTATTTCCTATTGCATCACAGGCTGAAGTGCTTGATAAGATTAGTCACTGAATTCAAGGACTTCAGCCTGATCCATATATTTTATCTTTTTTTTTTTTTAACTTGGAATCGAACTCAGGACCTTTTGCTTTCTTAGGTAGGTGCTTGTGCCACTGAGCTATAGCTTCATCCCTAATCCATATATTTTAAAGTTCTCCGAATTTTTTATCAACATGTTAGTAATCATTTTCTGAGTCAGTTATTTTGAGGGGAGTTACAAAATAACTGTACAGTTATTACAGTGCTTTTACAGTGCTTTTTCACAGTTCTGTTCCACTGAGAAGACTCCTTTTTTGCTTAGTCAATGAACTACTAATCTGAAAAGTGCTGGCTACCAAGGAGTACAGAATGGCTTTCTTGTCTCAGGAAATTAAATATTCCGGTCTCTATTCTCAATACTTATCTTGTAGCGTATGTTTGGTGGTAACAGGCCATTAACACTATTATTTCACCTAAAGACAATTGATTCATTTTGAAAAGAAATAAATTCTTAGGTTACTTAAAGAGCATTCAGAATAAAATATTAAATATTATTCATGTAGTCTAAGAGCTTAAAAACTGTAGTGAGATCAAGCGAGGTTTTTTATACCTCTGTGTTTGTTTAAATGCAGTTTCCCCACAGCATACATTAATTGATATTTCTCATCATCATATCATCAATGGTTTTTTGGGGTTAGTGTATTCACATTTTTCACATTTTTCCTGTATTTAGTAATTGAAATTCATCTTTACAGCACACTCCATTTACAACTAAGTTATCCTGAAGTACATTTCATATAGGAAAGGCCGAGTTGGCCCTTAATTTTTTATCCATTTTCTGCAAGTCAAATTGGTTCCCTAATATTTTCCTACAGGAGACTAATGAGCTGTCACCTCCTTCATTCTCATTCCCATCTTCATCCTCATCCTCATCAGGGTCTGCCAAAAAAATATATACACATTCTAGCAGTTCGCCATACTAAGAAATGTCTGGAAGCTAATGGCCACCGCTTTGAGCACCTCTTGTAATTGTAGAGGCCAAACATAATTTGTATTAATCTCATGATAGTTCAGTAATGTAGTATTAAAATATTTATACAAGTTTTTCTTTTTCTTCTTCCTCTTCTTTTTTTTTTTTTTTTTGGTCTTTTTGAGACAAGGTCTCGCTATGCAGTTGTAAACTGGCCTCGAGCTCACTTTGTAGCCCAAGTTGGTCTTGAACTTGCAACAATCTTCCTGCCTCAGCCTTCCAAGTACTGGGATCACATGCCGGCACCACCACACCCAGCTTCGCTTTTCTTTTCCTGATGTACACATTTTTTTGTGGACTCTGTATTATATGAATAACATATTAATGACTTTCAGTCATTGCAGCCCTTCCTTTTAATGTTCAGTTTTTCCCATCTCTGGCTACTTTCTTCAGGTTTGATTCTAGCTCCTTTTTGGCAGAACTGCATAGCAGGCTGGGTATGGTGGTAAATACCTCTTATCCCAGCACTCTGGAAGGCTGAGACAAAAGGATTGCAATTTTTTGTCCATCCTGAGCAACTTACAACTTATTGTGACTCTGTGTCAAAATAAATACCAAAATGGGCTGGGGATGAAGCTCAATGCCAGGGCCTTGGGTTCAACTCCCAGTATTAAAGAGAAAATTGATTTTTGAAGCAAAAACTATTGGAATGCTAATAAGTGTGACTGTATCTCTCCTGTGGCTATAAAGCTGGTTTTTCTATATTGTCATTTATTTTTACATTTGGTAGGAATAAAAAGACAAACTTCCCTAACATTAAAAAAATAATAGCTGGGTATGGTGGTGTATACCTGTAGTCCTAGCACTGTAGGAGGCTGAGGCAGGAGGATTACAAGTGGAAGCCCAGCCCCAGCAACTTAGCAAAACCTTATCTCAAAATAAATAAATAAATAAATGGCTGGGGATGAATGTAGCTCATTGTGAAGGCCCTAGGTTCAGTCACCAGTAACCCCAAAAAACCATTGATGATATGATGATGAGAAATATCAATTAATGTTTGCTGTGGGGAAACTGCATTTAAACAAACACAGAGGTATAAAAAACCTCGCTTGATCTCACTACAGTTTTTAAGCTCTTAGACTACATGAATAATATTTAATATTTTATTCTGAATGCTCTTTAAGTAACCTAAGAATTTATTTCTTTTCAAAATGAATCAGTTGTCTTTAGGTGAAATAATAGTGTTAATGGCCTGTTACCACCAAACATACGCTACAAGATAAGTATTGAGAATAGAGACTGGAATATTTAATTTCCTGAGACAAGAAAGCCATTCTGTACTCCTTGGTAGCTAGCACTTTTCAGATTAGTAGTTCATTGACTAAGCAAAAAAGGAGTCTTCTCAGTGGAACAGAACTGTGAAAAAGCACTGTAAAGAAAGAATACTTTGGAGCCAGACAACCTTAGATTTGAAAAACATCTTTAACCCCTAGCAGGTTAGCATTGACCTTCTTGAATATTAGTTTCCTCATAGATAAAACAGAACAGGTATAGGGTGCTGTGAAGGTTATAGAAAATCATGAATGTCATATATCTCCAATAGGCAAGATTCTATCCATTGCTTTTCTGTATTCTTACAAGTAACTGAGTGCCAGGTGTGGTGGCTGTCTTGGCTACTTCTCTTTCGTTGCTGGGACAAAATACCTGACGCCCAAAATTAGGGAAGGAAAGGGTTATTTCACTTACAGTTTGTGGAGGTTTTAGTCCATACTTGGCAGGTTACAAGGCAGAGTGGCACATGGCAGAGGGCTACAGCTCATGGTGGCAGAACACATCAAAAGCAACAAGCACAAAAGGAAGGAATGGCCAGAAGCAGCCTCTTCCTCTCCCTTACATATGCAAGCTATCACCCCAGGGCGGGTGTCGCTCACACCCATAATCAAACTCTAAAAGCCTGCCCCATGACCGCATGAGGCTTTGGGGGGACACACAGACACAAACCATAACAGTGGCATAGGCCTGTGGCCCAGGCACCCAGGAGACCGAGACAGGAGAGTTGCCAGGAATTGGAGGCCAGCCTGGGCTCTGTAGTGAGTTGAAGGCAAGCTTGGACTACATAGTGAGACCCTGTCGCAAAAACAAGAAGTAATTAAGTGTTTTGTCCTACCGTATTTGGTAGTAACAGTACAGTGCTTAGCTATTGTTGGTTACCTAGTGTGGACCAGAGATCATTTAAAAACCTTACATGGATTTTGTTTAATCCTAACAAAACCCTGTGAGGGGGTGAGTATTATTAGCCTCATTTGATGAGGAAACAGATGCAGGAAAATTAAATAGCTTGTATGGAAGCATATGTTAGGCAGTAATCAGTTCTCTGGAGAATTGTATCTGTGTATATCTATGTCTGTATCTGTCTTTTAAAATAATCATGTCTGGCCAGGTGTGATGGCGCACACCTGTAATCCCAGCACTCGCAAGGCTGAGGCAGGAGGATCGTTGTGAGTTCGAGACCAGCCTGGGCTACAAAGTGAGCTCAAGGCCAGTCTGAACTGCATAGCAAGACCCTGTCTCCAAAAAAGATAAAATAATAATAATAATAATAAAATAATCGTGTCTGTATTTTATTCTGATATTAGAGATAAATAGGAATAAGATAAATAAAAAATTTATGTGGAAAACTTGGTTATTCTCAGGTTTGTATGAAACGTTCATGTTAAGAGACTGTCTTCTGTTGAGAGAATCACAAGCTGGGTAAAGCCCTGGCTGCTTCTGCCACAGCACTGTTGTTGTGTGCGTGGTTGGTTGCTTTTGTTCTGAGTCGTAGCATTTTTCAGTGGTAAATGAGTCATTGCCCAGGCTTGTAACAGTTCTGGTACCACATTTGAAAGTGCTTGTCTGGTTGCCCCAGGGTCGGAACCTGGCAGATCTGCGGCGCAGCCAGGCCCGGGGCACGTTCACTACTAGCACTACCCTGCGGCTGGGGAGGCAGATTCTGGAGTCAATCGAAAGCATCCATTCTGTGGGATTCTTGCACCGAGACATCAAACCGGTAGGATCCTTTTCTTCCCCAAACACGGAAGGGTTTTTTGGGTACTTTGTTATGATGAGACACAATCAATTACAAATGTAGTTTTGTATATTTGCTGTGGTTAAACACAAAGATTTTTATTTCTGTAGAGGCCTAGAAGCAAAAATATAATATATCTCAGTTTTTCTCCCAACACTCAGGAGGCGGAGGCAGCAGGATCACCTTGAGTTTGAGGCCAGCCTGGGCCACATAGTGAGTTCAAGGCCAGTCTGGACTAACAAATAAATAAATAAATACATTGTAAAAGTTGCTTTTAGTTGATTTTGTATTTTTGGTTTCTCAAGTCAAATTGTGTTTGTAAGAAATTATATTTAAAGACCTTATTTTTCTTCTGAGTGGTAATGCAGAAATACAGGGTTTTTTGTTTGTTGTTGTTTTGCTATTCTAGTTTTCTTAGAAATTGTCATTTCTGTACTGGAATATTCTTTTCCTTTTTCCTTTCTAGTGTTTGTTGTTCATGAGAAGTGACTGATTTCTTATATGCTGTATTTACTGTAAACTTTACTGTAAATCTATTAGTACAGAGTATAAATATGGATATATTAAAAGTGTTATCCATTATCATATGATTTCTAAAATTAAATGCATGAAAATACCAATTAAAATTAACATTGAAAAGTCAGATTTAATGTTATTTGCATTTCTCCTGCCCTATGTCATTGTGAATCAGTGAGTGTCTCCATTTCATCAGAAAGCTCCTTAAGCAGAAATACTTTTTTTTTTGGTCTTTTTGAGATAGGATCTCACTATGCAGTTTAGGCTGGTCTTGGACTCACTTTGTAGCCCAGGCTGGTCTCAAACTTGAAATGATCATCCTGCCTCAGCCTCCCAAGTGCTGGGATTACAGGCGTATGCCATACCCAGCTAGAAGTGCATTTTTTTAAAAAAGCTAATCTTGCGGGGCGGAGGCAGGAGGATTGCTGCAAGTTTGAGGCCATCCTGAGCTACTTAGTGAGTTCAAGGCCAGCCTAAACTGCCTAGCGAACCTTGTCGCAATGCCCCACCAACAAAAAAATCAAAACCAGAAAGAAAGAAAGAAAAGCTAACAATTCTGTGTGGCAATTTTGAATTTTATCACCAAAGACTCCCTTACTTATCACTGAAATTTGTGGCGATTTAATATTACACTACTTTATTTTAACAGAAAAATGCGAAGTGTATTGAGTCTTTTGGAAATGTTTCCTTAATTCTATTTAATTTTAGATGAGTAAAATTCAGCTTTATGGTGCTTTAGGAAATTCCTTAAACTTTTTAGCTACTTTTTTTCCTCCACATTCCTAATGTCTCTCATTTTATTTTATTTTTTAAATTTCATTTTATTTTATTTTTTTGCTACTGGGAATCAAATTCAGGACCTGAATTTCAGTAAAGTCGGTGTTGTATTGTATAATTTTTTGTGTATGTGTATAATTTTATATAGTTGCATAATTCTTTTTTGTTCAAGGCTTACTAGCTATTAATAGAAACAAAAACTAGATAATATATAGTAAACATAATGGAATAAAATACTATATCTGGAAATGTTGCTTGTTAAGCCTTTAAATAGAAGAATAAAAAAAGAATAAAGGAAGGGTAAATTATAAAGACTAAATGTTATAAGAATTGTGTGCATTTTCCTTCTCTGTTTTTCTAGTCAAACTTTGCCATGGGTCGCTTTCCTAGTACTTGTAGGAAATGTTACATGCTTGATTTTGGCTTGGCTCGACAGTTTACCAATTCCTGTGGCGACGTCAGACCTGTAAGATTTTTCATGTTCCTATTAAATGTTTGAGAACTAACCTATTGTTTATAATATGATCCTTTAAAAATGTTAATTATGTGTTAGAATGGATGTTGCAGTGGTGGTAATGTAGCTCAGTTAAGAAATGAATAGATGTTATCTAAAAGCTGCCATGTCAGTTTCATAATTACATTATAGATGAATAAATTTACCATTGAAAGTTGTGGCTTTGGCCAGGTGTAGTGGTGCATGCCTGTAATCGTAGTACTGGGGAAGCCAAGGCAGGAGGATCACTATGAGCTCGAGTTTAAGGCCAGCCTGGGCTACAAAGTGAGCTCAAGGACAGCCTGAACTGCATAGTGAAACTCTGTCTCAAAAAGACCAAAAAAAAAAAAAAAAAAAAAAAAAATTTGTGGCGGCTGAGGCAGGAGGATTGCTGTGGGTTTGAGGCCAGCCTGAGCTACATAGTGAGTTCAAGACCAGGCTGTACTACATAGCAAAACCCTGTCTCAAATAAAAGAAAGAAAGAAAAGAAAAAATAGACAATAAACCAGAGGTACCTGTGGGAGAATGAGGGGTAGGAGTTGCTTGAGCCCAGGGTTTAGAGATCAGCCTGGGCAATACACCTGGAACAATCATGGGCATGTAACACCAGAAAAACATATTTGGAGTCTGTATAGATATGTAGCTTCTTGCCTTTTCCTAATATCAATGCCCAAGAAAAGCTATAAGTGCTGCTCTTTGAGTAGAGAGGTTTGTAGCAGAAGTTGGCCTCAATGAACTGACAACTGCATAACCTCCCTTTTGGTGGCTGTCTTGGATAAAGCCACTTTCATCAGTGAACCAGACCTCTTCAGGGTATTGAAGGAGTAGGTCAATGATGTTCTGCCTGCTTGCATAGGTCTGGGAGATCACTTGTTCACAAGAGTAGTTAACCTTTGCCTGTAGGCATCAAAAGACAGGATTAAAAGTAGTGCAAGTTTTTATAATCACCTCAGAGGTGACTAAGAGTATGGCCTGATACCTGGCAAGCCATTCTCCTGTTAACCACAAGTAACTTGTAGTCTCAAGAATCAGTCTGACCTGATGGGAGTCAGAATTTCTAGTTTTTTGTTTTCTGTTAGTATACCTGTAGCTGCTATTGCTGTCAAGCAGGGTAGTCATTCAGCAGCCACTCCATCCAAATTTTTGTTTGTTTGTTTGTTTGGTTTTTCTTCTGGTATCAGGAATCGAACTCATGACCTTGAGCTTGCCAGGCAGGTGCTTTGCCACTGAGCTAAATCCCCAGCCCCAATCCAAATTTTTGAAAAGTAGGCCACTGGGCAGAGTTCTTATCCTAGCCTCTGGGTCAAGACACCCAAAGCAGTTTCTGTCTCTTGTTCTCTCTCTCTGACTCTGTCTCTGTCTCTCTCAGTTTCTGTCTCTGTGTCTGTCTCTCTTTTTCTGTGTCTCTGTCTCTGTCTCTGTCTCTCTCTCACTCTTTCTCTCTCTCTCTCTCTCTCTCTCTCTCTCTCTCTCAGTCTTACCCATGTAGTTTAGGCTGACCTTGAACTCACTATGTGCCCCAGGCTGGCCTCAAACTCACAGCTCCTGCCTCACCCTTCCAAGTGCTGGAATTATAGGTGTTTACCACCATATCCAGCACTTTTCTGATTTGTAGAGGAAGAAGAGTTTTCTTAAGTCAGGTATTTTATTATACATGCAGCCAGATCCACCTGTTGGCTAATTAGGTTAGGTAGACCTTGGGTAGTCCTAACAGGTAAAATCTGTGTTGGTTTGTTGGAATTTGAGAACTGCCCCCAATTTTGCTAGTAAATCTCTTCCTAGCAAGGGAGTAGGACACTGTGGGACTGTTAGAAACTCATGGTTAAACGTTTGACCTTCAAAGTGACATGTCAGAATAGGAGTAAAGAATCTCCACCTAGGGGTCCCCTCAACCCCAAATATGATTATAGATCTAGAGGAGGGTTTTCCAGAGAAGGACATCAAAACTGAATGCAACAATTGCATTAGCTTACCCATGACATCCAATGTTACCCAGAGCTCCCTGTGTGAGATGGTAATATCTGCAGACAGGGATATGGTAGGCTGCCTTGGACCTCTTCAATAGTCAGAGCAGGAAAGGATTTTGGCTGTCCTCACCCCTGTCTGGGAGCAGGAACAGTTAACCCCCCTTGAGTCAGGGACATTGGCTGCCTTACAGTCGGAGCAGGGCCCAGGCAGTGGCTTGGTGTAGTCACATGCCCAGTGTCCAGACTTCTTGCACTTAAAACGGAAGCATCACTTATCTTTGCATTCTCCTTTTTTTGACCTGGGTAGGTTTAAAGCATTCCCAATTGCACCAGCTAGAATTCTACCTTTGCTCTTTTGACTCTCTTCCAGATCCTAATTGTTGAATACAGAAAAGGCCGTGTCCAGCAGTTGGGTCATAGGTGTCTGGGGTCCCATCTGAAGTTTTCTTCGTTAAAGATGGGAGAGACCCATATCTCCTTGAGAGAGAGGTAGGGATCCAAGGATAGGGTCATCAAAGATAGTCTCTTTCTTCCTTGGGTGCCACTCTAAGTACCATAGTTTCTGGGCTTTTTCTGAGGTAAAGGGTCACAAAGCCTGAACATAAGGGATTTCACTCTACTTCATATGTTTTAACAGAAACAGTTTAAGTGAAAAATAGTTTAAACTGCCATCCCGTAGCCATTTCTTGCTACTTCCTAGTTCATATTGACCCCAAGCCATATTGCAATAGAAGGTAAGCTATTCCTTTTTTAAATTGACTGGGTCAAACCTTTCCCATTGATCTAGGATATGGGCTGAGGTGAAGTCATTGGATCTGTGGAGAGTAGTTTAGTTTCCCATGGCTCATCTTGGGCCCTATAGAGAGTGACAACTATGTCTTTACTTCCTAAGATGCCATCCCATGCAGAAGGAGACCCTATTTGAGCCCACAAAGCATCCCTAGTGAGACTCATGTATTCACTGGACAGATGTCTCTGTGCAAAGCTAGGATGATTCTGGCATTTTTTGTAGAAACACAGAAGAAAGCCCTACTGAAGGCTTTTGTCTCTGTATTGGGGCCCATTAGCTTCTTAGCTCCTCGAGCCCACTAGCTCCTCTCTAGGTGTTGAGGCACTTGATGGCTCTATCTAACCCTTCAAAACTCCCATGAGATCAAGGTGGAGTTCCTCCCTACCAGCATTCCTGTAGCCATGGCTCTGCGGAAGCGTAATGGAGCCACTTGGGAAACAATACCCCTCCCATTTATCCCAATAGTAAAACTCTGGTGCTTTATTTAAAGCAGTAGAGAGAGGAAGCCCCCCCCCCCACATTAACCCTAAAAAGTTGTAAGAACAAGAATGGCTCTATTTTTGTATACTCTTGAGTTAAGCTTTACTGGAATTTAAGAAGAAACATGGGATCTAGCCCAATGTAAAAGAAGAGAGGGAGAAAGCCCATGTCTTCTCTAAATCAGAGGTTTAGCTCCTATCTACAAGCGTGAGATTTTTCTGGTGATCCCAAGGTCACTTGAAATTAAACATGGCAGAACCTATGTGGCTGATTAAAAACAGGCAGCCAGTCATGTGACAAGACTAGATGGTGGCCAGTCATGTGATGAGACAAGATGATGATCTTGACTAAGATAACACCGTGAGAAAGAAATGACCATCTAGGGGAAAAGTGCAGATGGGACTTTGAGGTCACACAGAAGTAAACTAGGGTAGACAGAGACCAAGCTAATTTCCCCAAAGGCCAGCAAAATATCACAGAAAACTTGAAATGTGAGGACAGGAGGGCATAATAACAAGCTCTCTGGCTATTTAGCTCATGTCCTTAGAGTGACGACAATGAGACAAAGAAAGGAGAGGGAAGATAAACCTCAAGTGAGTCTGTAGACCTCCTACTGGCTGAGAAAATAAGACAAAACACAGAGCATGCACGCCTTCTCCCCTGTCCCACTTGGTGGTGCACATCAGGAGACTGTTCCTAGCACCATGAGGAAAGTCTGGGTTCCCTAACCCAGGAGAGGGACAGAGAAAGAAGAAGAAAACTTTATCTTACAGAGAAACAAAAACAATGTGACCAAAGGGCCTTACCTGCTGCTTCTGGCAGACTAAGCCAAATATGTTAGCAGGTTTTAGGGTGCTGGAACCTCTCCTGGAGGTGGATTGCTGAACAAAGAATTGGTCGACACAAGTGCAAACTGTAGCAAAGTTTTATTAAAAGGAAGGAAAAGAAACAGGGCATACAGAGTGACTTTAGGCCAAGTAAAAGTAGGAAAAGAAGTATGCTCCACAGAGTAAGGGGGTCCACCATGCAGGAACAAACATTGGCTATTTTCTGAGTTCTTTATGTATTTTTATATTAATCCTCTATCGGAAAATTATCCTTCCAGTCTGTAGGTTGTCTCTTCCCTCTGTTGATTGTTTCCTTTGCTGTGCAAAAGCTTTCTAATCTGGTACAATCCCAGGTGTAGATTTTTGCTGTTATTTCTTGTGTAATTGGAGTTCTCATCAGAAAATCCTTGCCTACACCTGTGCTTTTTAGAGTTTTATCTATTTTATCTTCCAGCATATTAAGTGTTTCTGTTTTAATGCTTAGATCTTTGATCCATTTTGATTTTAGTTTAGTACACAGTGAGAGGCATGGGTCCAGCCTCAATCTTCTGCACATAGCTAACTATGTTTCAGTGACAAATACGAATAACATCAGTGTTTTCCCAGCACCATCTGCTAAAAAGGCTATCTCTCCTCCAGTGTGTTTTGGCCCATTTGTTGGAGATCAGGTAGCTGACTGTGTCTGGGGATGTTCCTGCATGCTGTGTTGTATTCCATTGATCCATGTCTGTTTTTGTTTCAGTACCATGCTGTAGTTTTGTAGTAGAACTCAAAGTAAGGTATTGTGGCGCCTCCTGCTTTGCTCTTTTTTTTTTTTTTTCTTTTTTTGAGGCAGGATCTTGAAATGCAGTTCAGGCTGGCCTTGAACTCGCTGTGTAGCCTAGGCTGGCCTCGAACTTTGGGCAGTCTTCCTGTCTCAGCCTCCCAATTGCTGGGATTACATGTGTGCACCACCACACCTAGCCTTCCTGTTTTGCTCTTGTCGCCCAAGATTGTGTTTGCTATTCTGTGCCTCTTCTGGTTCCATATACATTTTAGGATTTTTTTTTCTATTTCTGTGATGAATGCTGTTAGTATTTTGATTGAGATTGAGTTAAATCTATATATCAGTTTTGGGAGTATGGCCATTTTGACAAGATTGTTTCTGCCTCTCCAGGAACAGGGGACATCTTTTCTTCCTTGCCTGCTTTGCTTCGCTTCTTTTTTCTTCTCTTCTTCTCTGTCTCTCTTCAAAATTTCAGACAGGGTCTTGCTTTGTAGTTCTGACCTTGAACTCACTGTGTAGCCCAGGCTATCCTCAAACTCATGGTGATCCTCCTGCCTCACCTGCCCAGGTTCTGAGATTACAAGCATGTACCACCATGCCTGGCTTCCATTTTCTGATGTCCCCTTCAATTTCCTTTTTTGGAGTACTTAGTTTTCATTGTAGAGATCTTGCACTTTCTTGGTTAGGCTAATTCCTAGGTATTTAATTTTTTTCTTGTTATTGTGAATGGTATTGTTTTCCTAATTTCTTTCTCAATGTGTTCAATATTGGTGTACATGAGTTCTATTCATTTTTGTGTTTTGATGTATTGTGGTACATTAATGAAGTTAGCTATTAACTCTAATGGTCTTTTGGTGTAATTCTTTGGATCTTTTATTTTTTGTTTGTTTTTTTTTGTTTCAGCCATATCATCCATGCCTCCCTTTCCCCTCCCTCTTCCACTTCCCATTTCTTTCCCTCCTTTTTTTTTCTTTCTTTTGGCTGGGATTGAACCCAGGGCCTTTGCACGAGCCAAATCCCCAGCCTTTTATTTTTTATACTAAGACATGGTCTCCCTGAGTTGTCTAGGCTGGGCTTGAACTTGTGATCATCTTGGCTGAGCTTCTCAGTGTGCTGAGAAATGTGCCATCATCGGGCCACCTGTTATACTTTCCTCCTCTTGACATTGTTCACCCTGTTGTACTTGCCTAAGATGTGTTTCCTGTTGTAATTTTGGGGGGAATGGGATCATACTGAGAAATGAACCCAGTGCCATTTAGAGATAGAATCTAAGTTGCCCCAGACTGGGCTCCAATTTGTGATCCTCTTGCCTTAGCTCTCCAAGAGGCAGATATTATAGGTAAGCACCACCACACCTGACTCCTGTTGTAATTCTGTTATCCTTCAAGGCCCAAATTTTTGTCATTTTCATTTAAATATTATCAGGTTAAATTGTTATGAGTTTTGTATTTGGTAAAGATGATAACTCCAAAAGGGATTTCTTACTCTGTAGCACAAAATTTTTTTGTATTATATTTAGCAGTCTTGCCAGGCGTGGTGGTGCATGCCTGTAATCCCAGCACTCGGGAGGCTAAGGCAAGAAGATTGCTTTGAGTTTGAGGCCAGCCTGGGCTACATAGCAAGACCTTATATGTAAAAATATACATATTTGCCATCTTTCCTCTGATTATATAGATCTTGTTTCTTCTATTCTGATTAAATTAGTTTTGTCATTCTTCTGCTGCCTTCATTAAGAAAGTAAATAAAACTTTAATACATGTTTACCTTTCCCAAAATATTATCATATTATTTATTTTAATAAAAATATTCTTTGTTAAAGATTCATTTTTACTTTCTTTCATGATGTTATACAAATAAAATTTGGGTAAATAATGTATTCATGTGATGCAAAAATAAAAAAATTCAAAATTCAACTTCAGCATGGTGATAAACACCTACAATTCTAGCAGTCAGGAGGCTGAGACAGGAGGATCGCCATGAGTTTGAGGCCAACCTAGGCTACATAGTGAGTGCAAGGCCAGCCTGATGTACATAGTGTACATACATTTTGTTGAGACCCTGTCTCAACAAAACAAAATAAAACAAAACAAAAATGAATAAATGATTTGAATAACTGTTTTGTCAAAGAATAGCTAAGATTTGCTCAGCATCATCAGTTATTTGGGAGATGCAAGTTAAAACCACTGTGAGATACCACTGCACACCAGTTAGGATGGTTAAAGTAAAAACCAGGCAATATTAGCTTCTCACAAAGGACAGAAGTTAGGAAATTCGGGAGATTAGGGGTGGGGTAGTGCGGGTGGTAGCTACAAAGGGGCAGTAAGGGAACTTTTTAGAGAGATGGGAGTATTCTATATCCCCATTGTGGTGATAGTTACCTGATTTTATATCCTTTTTAATGTAAAGAAGGGTACTTTTTTATTAGTCCAAGTTTGCAGTACATAATGATTATATTCATCGCATGGAGTTGGTACATGTACATAACACATCTTAATTCTTTTCTCATCCTCTTCCCCTGGGCTCCCTCCAGAGAAGAATACTTTGTTTCCATAGTCAAACTTGCATAGATAAGATGTTACATATTTACTAGTGTGTTACCCCTATACTAATGGGAAAAAAATTAGGTTTTGCATTTGTAGAATGATTTTATCTTTGTCAAGACTCACAGAATTATGTATACATGAAGTATGATTTTGCTGTGTAAAGTAATACCTTAATAAGTCTGACTTGAAAAAAATTAAAAAGGCAAACAGTAAGACAGATTTCCATTTCACTTCTGCCTGTCCCAGATCCACTCATTTCCTGTACTGCTAGTGGTCCTTCCCTCTACCCTCTACTTTCCACCTTAGGTAGCTACACTCTTACTAGTTTCTTAATATATTCCTCCAGAATTTCTTTGTTTGCATACAATAAATACAAATGAACTTTCTTACTTCCCCCTTTTTGATTAAAAAAGTTGCATGAAAAAAGGTAGCATGTTATCTGTTCTGCACCTTTCTACTTCTCACTTAACAGTGTACCTATGCGGTTTTCCCACATCAGTATCCAGAGCTTCCTCATTCTTTGTTGCAGCTGCAAAATGTATTCTGTTACATGGACATACTGTATTTTGTTAACCCCTTATTGCCAAACAGTTAGGTTCTGCCCAGTCTTTTGCTACCACAAACACTGATATAGTGAATGACTTTGTACATCCATTTTTCTTTGTCTTTAATTCCACATTTCTTGCATATATGCAAGTATAAGAAATGTTACCTCTGAGAGGCTGTATGTTTATAAAATGAGCAATACAGAGACCTTGCTCTCTCACACCGTTTATATCCTATGGAATAGAAGATAGACAATAAATTTAAAATATAAGCAAACAGGTGATAAGGTAAAAATACAAATAAAATAGAGTTGGGTTAGTAAAAGGTGTTACTGTGGCAGGATATAAAACAACAGAGTGGCTCTGCAGATGGAGGATAGTATTTTAGATTAGGATGACTAAGGAATATTTCTCTGAGGAGGTGATATATGAGCAAAGGCCTTGACATGGAATTGCTAGCCAGAGAGAGATGTAGGTGACGGCATCTGAAGAGTAGCACATGCAAAGTCTTGAGCTAGAAAGAAAATGTGTGGTAGATGAAATCACAGTAGACCCATTGTGTAAGGTGCCAGACCATGGAAAGTCTTGTACAAGTGTTCAGACTTTATTCACAGGTGCCCTCTCCAAGTGTTAGAATCATGTATTACTCATGTTTGGCTTTATTCTCAGTATCAGGGACATACTAAGTACACAGTAACTTGAGTTCTGAACATTGTAAGTTATATTTATAATATATAAGGTATAGGTTGCCACCACCTTTGAATTAAGTTTGAATAAAATAGCTAAGCTATGAAAAGGTTGACAGTTTAGGTTATTTAGTATTTCCTTATAGTCTCTCTAATGTATTTGTATCCAAGCCTGAATGTTAATGTGTATACTATGATAAAATGTATATACTATGAAAGCACTGAATATCTTCAATGTACCCAGTTGTGTGTGGATTATAAATGCTACTTTTGGGTAGGGGGATTGGAGATTAAACCTGCATACTGGGCAAGTGCTGTACCACCAAACCCCAACCCCCCACCTGCCCCAGCCAAGTGGCAACCTTTTCTTAAAATATAAGTAGAAAAATGAACAAAATCATCAGATGTTTTAAAGCTGTGGTTTAAAAATATTCTTTTTTCTGTAATTTCATAATAGAAATTAAATAGTTGTCTAGTGTGACAGTTATAAACACATTTTTTCCCCTTTACTTCATGGACTAATCTATTGCTGTTTGGTTTATTATTCTTGCTTGGCTTTTAGCCTCGAGCTGTGGCAGGCTTTCGGGGGACCGTTCGCTATGCATCAGTTAACGCCCATAGGAACAGAGTAAGTATCAGAGCGCATCTGTGTAAGCGTGTTTACAGCTTCAGTCACACTACCTTCTTCACATTACAGATGTTCCTTGCTTAATGACCAACCTGATTAATAACTGATCTATGACGTACCACTGGGATTTATGACCTGTCCTTTTTTTTTTTTTTTTTTTGCACAGTATACCTTATTTATGCAGTACTATGATTTTTGCTGATTGTACTGTACAATATAGTACTATAGCCTTATGTTCTGTTATACATCAAGGTACTGCATGTAAGAGTTATGCTAATAAAAGCAAGATATTAAGTTGGAGTTTCCTTTGACCACTTCATTGCTCTGAATATTGTAGTGTACATACTATATTATATATAATTCCTCACTTAGAGACCAGTTCACTTACCTAGCACAGGATTACAATCAGTTGTTAAACGAGGAGTGTCTTCAGTACATGGGGTAGGAATGGCTACTGAGCAGAGGATCTCTTTAATAGTTACGAAGTTCCTACTTTGGGGTGGCATTGATATTGAAAAGAGTTAATACTAATACATGGTAAGATGTATAGTAGGAAACGTGTAGCTGCTTACAAAATAAAATTTGATTTGCTAAAAGAGATAATAACTAAGTATGTCTATGTTTATAAAGAATGTGTGTCTTTAATTCCGTGTATGTATTAACAAAATTTTTTCTGAGACAGGGTCTCACTTTTGCTTCTGTCAGTCGCTGCAGGAAATGGCCACCCAGACACATTTGAAGCTAGTTTCTGGGCATGACTTCCATACTATACAAGATTTAATTCACAAATCTGAATAAAGAGAAGGCTGTGGCAGCAAATTCTCAAAGCAAGATTTTTTTTGTAACCACTCACTTTGTCCTCTTGACAGCAATTCAGTTTTATGGAAAATATTGCAGTGTCCTGAGTAGCCGGGATTACAGACATGTGCCACCACACCCAGCTTTAGTTTCCCTTCCTTCTTAATAAACTCATTGATTAATAAATTGCTAATTATATTATTTTGAACATTGCTGGACTTCAGGGTATTCTTTATATCATATATATATGTTTTTTCTGCCATGTAGATTGCTGTATACATGTGCAGATATGTAGATATGTTCACCAGATAAATTTTATGGGAAATATATTTAAACTTTCAAGCCTAGTGAGATGAAATAAAATGGTTAGGTCTTAATGCAGTATGCATTAAAGAACTGGGAATGTATCGTGGCTGAATTCTGTTTTGTTTATAAAGGAAATGGGACGACATGATGATCTTTGGTCTTTATTCTACATGTTGGTGGAATTTGTGGTTGGTCAGCTGCCTTGGAGAAAAATAAAGGACAAGGTAATTTTGAAAACAATTGTCAATTTTGGTATGGGAAAGGATAAAAATTTCTCCTTAGTATTTTTGTTGAAAATATATTTATTAAACACTACAATATCTATTGTATTTATTTTTATTTTTATTTTTATTTTGTCTTTTTGGGACAGGATCTTGCTATGCAGTTCAGGCTGTCCTCAGGCTCACTTTGTATCCCAGGCTAGCCTCAAACTCACAGCGATCCTTCTGCTTTAGCCTCCCAAGTGCTGGGATTACAGGCGTGTGCCACCATGTCTGGTTATTTATATTGTATTTAGACATTATATAGTACTCCATTAATTGTTTGGAGTGGGGAAGACACTAAATGCAGAAGCCCTCCTCTCCAACTCATTTTTTTAAATTTTATTTATTTTTTGTACTGGGAATTGAACTCATGACCTCAGGCTTGCCAGACAAGCACTCACGCTGCAGAGCTACATCCCTGGCCAGTACTCTACTAATGGTATAGATTTTTGTTTTTATGTATCAGTTAAAACTTCTTTTTGAGACAGAGCTTTGCTTTGTAGTTCAGGCTAACTTTGAACTGTCTGTGTAGTCCGGGCTGGCCTCAAACTCCTGGTGCTCCTTCTCTCAGCCTCCCAAGTGCTGAGATTACAAGTGTGCACCACACTGCCAAGCCAAAACATTCAATTATTAAAAAAGAAAATATGCTCTACCTATAAGACTTAACATCTATAAGCACTGTTACTCTATCCAAATACATGTATTTTTCTGTGAGCTGACACTAGAGAGCTAATGTTGCAACTTTTTCTGTGTACATGGAGAATAGATACTGATTTGTAAGTACAGTCATTTCTTGTGATTTGACATACAGCTGTCCTCTTTTGGCTGGCATGGGGTAGGGGTATGCTGGAGGGTGAACCAAGGGCCTGACAGCCTCACACATGTGAAGCTCATTCCCTGACACTGACCTACACCTAGCCCCTCCTGTGCTTGTAACTTCACTGTCTCTCTCTTTTTGTAAGTCAAATGAGTTTTTTAATTGTCACAGTGTATTGTTTGATTTGAAAACTGTAAACAAATGTTGATAAAGAAAAGTAGACCAAGCCGGGCGTGGTGGTGCACGCCTGTAATTCCAGCACTTGGGAGGCTGAGGCAGAAAGATTGCTTTGAGTTCGAGGTCAGTCTGGGCTACATAGTGAGTTCAAGGCCCGCCTGGACTACATAGTGAGACCCTTTCTCAAAAAAAAAAAAAAAAAAAAAGAAGTAGACCAGATTTAAGATAAACTTCTTCGGGGAGTAGTGTGAGGGACTGAACCCAAGGCCTTTAAACTGAGCTACATCCCTAGCCCCCTTGTTTTTGAGACAGAGTTTCACTAAGTTGCTGAGTTGCCCTGGCTGGGCACAAACATGTGATCCTCCTGTTTTCCCTCCCAGAGTGCTGGGATTACAGGCATGAGTCATCATGCCCAGCCTAACATAAACTCTTTTGGAGATTATTAGTTCACTGATACAAAGCTCTGTGTTACTCTTTTTAATTCTGCGTTATAGTTTTGCCCCCTTTCAAGCACTGTGCATTAAACTATTAGTAAGAACTTTGTTCTGGCTTTATACTTTCTTTTTATCTTTTTCTGTCTAAATTTATACTTAATTACCCACCACTTCATTTCCTGGTATGTTCCCTTGAGACTGTTACCAAAGGACTTTTAATGGGAAGCTGCCAAAGAAAACTGACTTTGGCTCATTTTCTCTTTACTTTCCAGGAGCAAGTAGGCTCCATTAAGGAGAGATATGACCACAGACTCATGTTGAAGCATCTCCCTCCAGAATTCAGCATCTTTCTGGACCATATCTCCTCTTTGGATTATTTTACAAAACCAGACTACCAGGTAACCATCTTCGTGAATCCATGGATTCATTCTCCTTTCTCTTCTAGTCTCTCCCTTCACTCACTGGGGAGTGTTATGCATGAGTGTGAGGGGTCCCTACAATAGTACTGTTTTAATATAGTCTGAGAAAAGACATAAATTTAATTGACAGTGAGAGAGAAACTGATTTTTCTAGATGACCTTCCTTAGGGTTTTAGGTTTATTCAGGAAAAAACAGATTGTATTGTTTGTGGTTTTGATTCACCTTGGGTGTGAACTGATGGTTGAAATTATGTAAATTCTGGGGCTGGGGATTTAGCTCAGTGGCAAAAGCTCCTGCCTGGCAAGAGCAAGGTCGTGAGTTCGGTTCCCGGTACCGGAGAAAAACCAAAAAAAAAAAAAAAATTACGTAAATTCTGTAGCTAATGTGTTGACCTGAAGGAAATGTCCAATTAGGTAATGTGTCTATTTGAGGGCGTAAGGGCCCCATGCCAGGTGTTAATATGTTGTGAAACAGCAGTCAGTGGAGATTATTGGCTCTGTTTTGTCTTTGGTAAGTGAATTGTTTCCTTAGAGCCCTGGTGGTGACTGTATGGCACACATGCTGCAGTGGGCTGCTTGTTATCATTGAAACTTCTGAAAACTTCACCATCACTGCTAGAGCATTGGTTAATAAAGCTTTCTAAGGTTCACCTAGATTCACCCATTTCAAATCCCTAACTCCAACAGGCTATTTCTGAAGATTCTGTCTATTCCTCTTAGGGAAAACTTGATTCAGCCTTAAGTAATTGGTACCACTGAAAATGTAAATAAAGCCACACATAGATTAATAATATATATTAGTGTATTATTTTTATCAAAGGACAACATATAGTCTTTACTACTTATTAAGGAAAATTTTAGATTCTAAAGTGTTCAGTAAAAGTACTTAAAAGAATGTCTATGTCACAATGAATTTATTTGCACATAATAATTATTTCTTTGGGAAATCTCAGCCTTTGTGTAAGATGTAAATAGGACATGAAGGAGAGAGCAACATACAACTTTGGGTCCTTAGAGACCTCACATGAGTGAGCTTGTCTTCTGTCTCGTATGGCCATTTGTACTATGTAGACAGTGTCACAGATTGAGAAAACACATTGTACTTGAGATGTTTCGTACTGTATTCTTCCATTTTTATTTTATATATATATTTTCTGAAATGTAGATAATTCATAGTACATTTAATAAAATAATGAAATTACATCTATAAGGCTGGATCCAAGAAAAGCTAGAAAATGTCCCTACTTTCCCACTTGTGCATTAATAACTTCTATTGACAAAGTCTGCTTGAGGTACAAAAGTTTAGGGTTTTGATCATAGTCACCTCTTGCTTACATCTGTAATCTCAAGAGGACTATCATATTCACCAGCTAATGTCTGAAACTTATAATTAATTTAAATTAACAAATTATTGTCATTTGGGTATTCTCTAAGGAGCTTTTCTGTTTATCTCTTAATAAAAGAACAAGTTATAGCTACTCTTTCTGGAAGCAAGCAAGCATAACATTTTATTTCACAGCATCTGCAAAGCCTGGTCTTTCCTGCTCTCTGGTCTTCCATAAGCAATGATTGGGGGCAGTGAACGGGTGGGCAGGAGAACGATAGCTGCGAAAGGGGGCTGATTAGTGACTGGTGTGTTGTGACGGCTCGAGTCGGTGTGACATAGGTTCCAACCAACGGGTCTGAGCTTTTCAGCCTTGTCTCTTGCTTCCTTCACAGAGCCCTGCCCTGGTCTTCATGTTGAGAGAAGTCACTCTTATTTTGAATCTAAGTGCTCTTATGAGTTAATGCTGTCCATATGGTTAATCTTACAGTTTCACATTTATTGCTGAATTTGATTTTAAATTATTGTTATTTTAAATTTCTCATAGGATAACCAGCATAGTTAGAGACAATAAACTTCCAGCAAGTGAAAAGCATTCTATTATTTAACTTGACTGCTTCTCTAGCTATATCAAAGACCAAACAGCTGTGATATGTCTCCAACTTTGTATATTCTAAGACCAAACTGAATGTATATATTTTTTAGTAGTTAAAAAGTGTCAGAGTCAGCTTTCACTTTAAATATATATGTTTTCTAAATCTGAAAAGTTAGAATTGCTCACTATGGACCATTGTTGCCATACTAAGTCACAGATATGTAGATAAAGAGCAAATAGCTCTATATTTTTTTTTCTTCAGAAGTCTTTTGTGTGTGTTCAGTTAGAATAAAGGCTGAGATTTGATTTCCTTTGTTTTGAGAGTCTTGTTATGCAGTTCAGGGTGGCCTTGAATTCACTGTGTAGCCCAGGATGGCCTCAAAGTCACAGTAATCCTCCTGCCTCAGCCTCCTGAGTGGTGGGATCATAGGTATGCACCACTATGCTGGGCTGAGACTTGATTTTTAAAAGTACTGTATTGTTTTGGAAAATTACATCATCTTTTAATACTTAGTATTAATGTCTGGGTATGTCTTCATAACCAGCTGTTAAACCCTGAAAAAGCAAGTATATTGTATTTTTTAATCTGGTACTATACTTCGCACTGTCCCTGACATAAATTTTATCTAGTTTGTTGAATCTTGCTTTGGACCTCTTTTAGTCTTGTACTCAGAAACTGTAAGAAAAATTAAATGGATAAATTCTTTTTCTTTTTCTTTCTTTCTTTCTTTCTTTCTTTCTTTCTTTCTTTCTTTCTTTCTTTCTTTTTGTGTTTTGAGATAGGGCCTCACTACGTAGTTCAGGCTGGCCACGAGTTCATGCCAGTCCTCCTGCCTCAGCCTCCCAAAAACTGGGATTACAGGCATGCACTGCCACATGTGGCCATAAATATTATTTTCTACCAGTTAAGCTGTATGTGAAAACATTAGCATTAGAACCAAGATTAAAGCACATGCCTTATATTGTTTATATTAGATTATGAACTATTATAGCAACTCTGAGATACAGAATGTTGGACCATGGTTCTATACAAATGGTACAATTAATAGAAACACACACACACACACACACACACACACACACGCACACACGCACACACTTAGAAATGCATGTAGAATGGGTGCAGTTTGATAAGCTCTGTGGTTTGCACCAATGTAATTTTCCTTGGTGTGGCTATTACACTGTTACTACTTGAGATGTTGTCATGGAGGAAATGGGGTACAGGGGCCCCTCTGTCCTGTATTTGCAACTTGCTATGAATCGTTGTTTGTTTGTTTTGGGTGCTGTGAATCTTTGCAGTTTTTTGTTTGCTTCCTTGGGACTGAACCCAGAGCCATTGGTATGAGTTACATCTTTAGACCTTTTTAAGAATGTTTGAGCCGGACATGGTGTTGCACACCTGTAATCCCAGAATTCAGGAGACTGAGGCAGGAGGATTATCATAATTCAAGGTCAGCCTGGGCTACATAGTGAGACATTGTCTCAAAAAACAAACAAAAAAATTGTTTTTAATTTTTGGGATAGGGCCCCACTAAGTTGCCCAGTCTGGACTCAAGCCTGCAGTCTTCTTGTGTCAGCCTTCCAGAGTGTTGGCGTTACCTGCATGTACTAACATGCCTGGCTCAAAATGAAGTTGAAAAGAAGTGCTAGGGTAACATTTTTACAAATGTTAATAGTGATAAAAACCTTTAGTATTATTGTGGCCATTTCATAATTTAAGTAAATCCATTTTGGGTATGGTGGTGCACAAGCTGTAATCCTTGCACTTGAGGGGCTGAGGCAGGAGCATCACTGTGAGTTCAAAGCCTGGATTTTTTAGCAAGTTCAAAGCCATCCTGAACTGTGAGTTTTGAGACCCTGTCTCAAAAAAACCAAAAATTGATCAATGTATAAGTCCTTTAAAAATGTTTTGTGAAAAAAAAAAAAATATATATCCCTGAGGAATATCTGTTAAATTCTTACCAGCCTTCTTCAATTACCAGTGAAAGGGAAACTAAGATTCCACGTAGGTCCAGGCCAGAGAACCCTGGAGCTGTCACATGTTATTTTCATGATAATGACACACAGTAACATCACAGTAGTCCTGGGGTATTAATACTCCCAGTTCACAGAGTCTTAGTTTAGATATGTTGCCTAGGACCACAAAAGCAGCAGTGCCCACACCAGTGTCTACGCTCACGTATGACTCAGAGAGGCCCACGCTCTTTCTAGTTTCCGTGTGGCCTCTCTTGGAGAGGTAACCATAACCATAATAGGTACCATAAAGTAGTCACTAGCGTGACTGGTCAATGAAGGTGAAAGAAAAGAAATAATTGCATGAGTAAATGTGAGAAACTGTCAGTAACTAATCGGATCATATGATTCGAAGGAGAAATACATTTATACGAGTGTTCAGGTTATGTTAGACGCTGTATTCATCAGTTTCCTGTCACAGTAACCAGTATCTGGGATGATGCGTTTTATAAGCGAGGTGGTGTGCTTGGCTCAGAGTGGTGGAGGTTTCAGTCTATGACTGGTGGGCCCCGCTGCTCTGGGCCTGTGACAGTACATTATGGTGGGGTGCATGGCAGACAAACTGTTCACCTTCTGGCCAGGAAGCAGAAGGAGGGGCAGTGACAAGGGCCCCAAGTCCCTTCTAGGGCACACCCTTAATGCCCTAACCCTTCCAACCATGCCCGCCTCTTAAAGTTTCTACTGCTTCCCCATAGCACCAAGCTGGGATGAACGTTTACCATTTGGGCCTTTGCGGGGCATTCCAGATCTAAACCGTAGCAAGCCTCATTCAGTAAATTGACAAGACCAATGAGACCCATAGACCCACTGTGGGTGAGCACAAACATGAAATATATATGAAGCAGATTACACTCTCCCATACATTGCTAAAATCAGAGGACAAGATGAAATACAAAGCCAGACAAGCTTCATCAGTCTTTTTTGGGGAACAGGGGAGTATGAACTCGGCCTTAACACTGAGCTATATCTCTAGCCTTCTCTTTTAAAATTTTGAGACAGGAGCCATGCGTGATGATACGTGCCTGTAATCACAGCTACTTGGGAGGCTGAGTCCAGCCAGGTTGGAGCCCAGCTTGGGCAATTTAGTGGGACCACATCTCAAATTATAAACTAAACAGGGCTGGACATACAGCTTAGTGGCAGAGAGCTCCTGGGTTTGACTCCTAGCGCCACAAAGAAAAAATGGTAAATCTTACTTAAATTTCAAAACAGGGTCTCGCTAAGTCACTAAGTTGTTCAGACTGGGCCCAAACTTCCAACCTTCCTGCCTTAGCCTCTCAGAGTGCTGGGATTAGGGGCTTGTGCCACCTGGCCTGGCTTATGCTCAACTCTTAAAGCAGTACTGTAGTTTATCTTCTTAGCTAGATGAGCTCTTTGAGAGCCAGGGACAGTTTTCTGTTTCTTCAAAAAGGTAATACAATAAAAGACTTTTAAAAAACAGACCTTAATACAAATTAACAAATTGAATCCATCTATTTAACTTGATTATTGCTTCTGTTGAATGTAAACTCCCTGAGGACAGGACTGTTTTGTTAATATTTGTATTCCTGGGACCAAGGACAGTAGGCATGGTAGTGTATGTCTGAATGGGTATTTGAAGTAAGTGTAGAATACAGTTGAATCACTGAACGTCTGTGTTTACTTCACTCACTCGAACTTAGCTATTTTCAGGAGATAGAAAGTTTTTTAACATCTTCGACTCTGTTATCGGATGGGATTCAAAAAGTCCCTTTAAAGAGGAGTGAGGGCTGCAACTCAGTCCAGAGAGGCTCTTTATCTTCATTGCAGAAAAGTTTCAGGATCTGTCAGTGAGAGACATAAGCGGATTTAGTAGGCAGAGTTAGAAAGAGAAAATGAAGAAGGGACTTCAACTCGAGGGTCTAAAAAGGGCACAGCTGTAATGGAGAAGATCACCCTGGCCCCTCAACAAAAGGAAGAGACTGGCTTTTATGAGGTTGCTGGGGTGGGCTAAGTGTGGCTAATCATTACCTCATTTCTGGTTTTGCAACTTTGGAAAACTCCTTAAAGCTTGAGGGGGGCAATCCAGTTTCCACAAAATGACTGTGCACCCTAGCCCCACAAAAAGCTGAACTCAGGGCCTTTGCAATAAGCCACATCCCCAGCACTTTTCATTTTTTGTTGTGGGTCTTGCTAAATTGCCCAGAATGGGCTTGAATTTGGGATCCTCCTGCCTGAGCCTCTCAAAGTGCTGGGATTACAGGAATGTGCCACCATGTCCAGGAATGATTGTTTCTGTTGGTTAGGGGCAGTCTAAGTTCTGAGGAGGTTCTGCTGCAGTCCAAGATAACTGCACACTTAGCGCAATGACTGGGGAATTCTAGATACCCACTCTAGGGAGACTGTCCCAAGATGTAAATTCAGCTAGCAGCTGAATCTCCTTTATAAATTTCTTGTCTTGGTGTCCTCAATCTTGAAGGGGTACAAGCGGGGTTAGGAAAGCGGCTAATCAACCACGTAGTGCTAGTTTTCAGGCAGACAGTCTTTAAGTGATTAGCATGCCTACACACAGAAGTGAGCAGTGATCCCATTCAAAGTTGTTCTTAGGTGATAAAAAAGCAGATACAAAATGAAGGTAGAACTGCCGGCTTTGTCCTGCTTTTAGCTACCTTTGGACATCTCTAGGTCCAGATGAAGAAAGACTGTGGTTTGTTTTGTTTTGTTTTGTTTCATTTTGTTTTAGTCAAAGTAGCTTTAAGTCTCTGAGTGACGCAGAAAAAAAAATGCAAGTCATGCTTTTGATTAGTAACAGGTTAAAGACCTAGGAGTTTTATTTATCTTCTGTCCCTCTGTGATAATCTGAACAGTTTTATCTAGTTTATTTTTGGAGATTCTCTGACAAGGACATCCTGGCACATGGTTCTTGAAGTTGCTAAGACCCTTCGGGAGAGTGACATTAAGGAAGAGTACAAACCTTACTTGTAATGAGTAACGTCCCCCGAGTTAAGGCCCGGGAGTGTGCCTGCCCCTTGTCCCCACAGCAGTGGCTGACTGTCTTGGTTCTGTCCATCCTTTGGCCCACTTAGCTGTGGCCTGTGCTGGCGGTAGTGCTTCAGTGCCCCAGCGAATCTGCTCCTCTCCCAGCCATTTGTTTCACTGACAACTGCCAGTGGCCCCTCATCAAGCTGCACTGAGGGTGAATCTAGTGAGTCCAGAAAGAGCAGTGCTTTTTCGTGTTACGTTGTGAATTCACCAGTGCAGCTAGCTTGCTTCACTCACATTTATCTGAAGAAACAGGTATCCCAGAGTTAGGGGAAAAACTAGCTATATCCTACTTATTGAAAGGTGGTAGTAGTCCATACTAGATGGGCAATTGAAGGGGCCTTTAAGGATAATGGCAGCCATGTGCCTCGCCTGCTAGTTGGCTGTAACTGGTATGTAATGAAAATAGCACACTCTTAAAAGACCTGTTTAAATTGGTGCTTTGATGCACACCAGCAGTGAAAATATCTCACAGTGTTGTTGGTATTTTAATGAGGTACTCATGAGAATGATTTTATAAAATGTAAAATGTCACTCAAATATAGGTGGTTTTCTATGTATTCTGGTGATACTACTTTGCTTGTACTTCTTTCACTTGTCTTTATTCTTCTGTTCAATGAACATGACTCCTGCGTTAGTAGAACTTACTCTTATTTCCGCATGCAGCTCTGTCAGTGAGGCTGTAAGGAAGCTGGCCTTGCTAGGTGGCACTGGGAAGCCCCAGTGTGCTGCCAGGTAGTTGGCTGAAATGGGGCAGCTCTGTTGCTGGAGTGCAGCCTCCACTCCCTCAGCTCCTGGGGCTGCTGGCCCTGGGCCACAGCTGGATCACTCCAGTGTCTCCATAGAAAGGATAGAAACAGCTGAACCTCCATAGCCTGTCAGCTCTTATCTTTATTTGGTCCATTTTGCTGGTTCTGTTGTCCAGAGGATGAATACAACAGTGCAGTGCACCCCATGACCACCACCATGGTTGCTAAAATCCCCTAGAAGAGCAGAGAAGTCCAAGACCATGTGCCTTTCTTCCCCTCTGTTGCGTCTCCTTATCACTGAAGTGAGACAGTTTCTTTTGCAGTAAATAGTGTCTTTGAATCAGCCAAGTCAGGACTGTCTTCATGCTCTTTTGGTTAAGTGTTTTATTGATCCATTCATTACTTTACCACTTAGTAACCAAGAATTAAGAATCAGGATTGTCAGTGAAGTTCTTAATTTCACATTATAAATAATTGTCGTTCTTTCAAAGGCTGGACATTGCTGGTCTGTATTCATTTTGAAAGGGCAAACTGGATTTCAGATGGAGGCAAATTTGATACAGCTAGTAATTGCACTTTGTGCTATGGAGAAGTGCAGTGCTTCCCCAGGGCACTTTGCCTTTGTCGAATGACTGATGCCATGAGTAATCTGCTCTAGGTGCAGGAACACACTTGGTGTGCTGTACGTGGTTAGGTACATGATCAGTTTATTTCAGATACTATATTTTTGTTGGCTAAACTACTCAGAACATCATTACCCAGAGATACTTTCTGATTTTTGTTACCTATTTTTATGTCTTGAATATAGGTAATTTGCTCAAAAAAAACTTCATTGAAAACCTATTATAACTCAGTTTACCCAAAATGGACTTTTTCTTATTAATAAGGGAGGCTAAGACAAATAATCCAATAAATAAGTAAAAAGTAACATTGCATTTTTGCCTGTCCATGTCTTCTGCAAGCTTGTCTCTTTTTTCCTTTTCCCCTCACCAGGTACCCTCCTTATTTCTGCTCAAGGAAGATCCATTTTCTTCATGCTGTTACATTTCTAGTGTTTCTCTGTTACATCATTGATTACATGTTAAAGTTTTGTAGGTGGGTGTGGTGGTGCACACTTGTAATCTCAGCACTCAGAAGGCTGAGGCAGGAGGATCTCCATGAGTTTAAAGGCCAGCGTGGTCTATATAGGGAGTTTAAGGCCAGCCTGAATTATATAGTGAGACCCTGTCTCAAAAAACCAGAAAAATTTATAAAGTTAAAAAAGGACAAATAGGCAGCCAGGATGGTAGCACACATCTATAATCCCAAGATTTAAGACACTGAGATAGGGAGGATCAAGTTTGAGGCCAGCCTGGACTACACAGCAAGACTCTGTCTCAAAAATATCAAAATTTAAAAAAACAAACATAAATAACCAAATAGGTGGCTAAAGTGAACACACAGACACACAGGCACACACATACACACACACGCACACACATACACACACACATCCTCAACAGATTTCATTTTGCCAAACCATTTAAAAGTTGGTTAAGCTTTGCACAGTCGTAGTATCTTAGCCAGTGAGGTTTATCTGAGGTGCAATTATTGCTAATTGAAAACTTTTCTGAAAAGTTGGTTAAAAATATTATAGGTTGGCTCATACCTGTGATCCCAGCACTTGGGAGGCTGAGACAGAAGGATCACCACAAGTTCAAGACTAGCCTGAGCTACCTAGTTCAAGGCCAACCCAAACTACGTAGCGAGTCCCTCTTTCAAAAAGAGGAGGAAAGCTTGAGTATGTATCGTCCCAAAATAGAATCATTGTCCTATACAGCTATAAAACAGTACCACAACTGAGAAATATCAATATGAATTCAATTTCATGATCTATATGCAGTCCTTATTCAGTTTTCCACTTTGAAGCATCAGTTTTAGAAGAAAGTCATACTGTACCTTTTAAATGTATATTGGGTGCTTTCTCTTATAGAAGAAACTTTCTTTACTGTTGGCTTACTCTACTTTTTTTTTCCTTTGTGGTTTAGTTACTTACATCCGTTTTTGACAATAGCATCAAGACTTTTGGAGTAATTGAAAGTGACCCTTTTGACTGGGAGAAGACTGGAGCAGATGGCTCTCTAACAACCACCACCACTTCCACCACCCCTCAGTTGCACACCCGCCTGACGCCTGCTGCCATTGGGTACGTCCTGAACAGCTTACTTAGTGCTGCCTCTTCCGTGTACACTGTATTAGCAAAAATCATCTTTAATTCATCCAGATTTGTTCACATGGTCAAATGCTAAAACACAGGGGAAAGTGTATGGCTTCCCTAAACTAAACATGCTTTTGTATTTGACTTTGGAATCACTTACCTTAGAGATGGTGGCTCATCCTGTGCAGTGGAAGTTTAGAGCTTATATGATTGTTGATGTCAGATTTACAGTAGGATTTCTATGCAGTTCAGGCAGGCCTTGAGCTCACTTTGTAGCCCAGGTTGGCTTCAAACTCACATCCTCTTGCCTCCTGAGTGCTGGGATTCCACCGTGCCTGGAATACAGTGGGTTTTCTTCAAAATGTGAGGGAGCATTAGTTGTATTTCTGAAAAATATGTCGGACTGTGTAAAGAATAAAATACAATTATATCTAACTGTACCATTCCCAAATTAGTAAGAACAAAACACATAACTTGTTCTTCTTAATTTACCTAATATATTAGGAACAGATTATGATGTATTTCCGTGCTCTAATTTTTGATTTGGGTTTGTATGAGGGGTGGTAATGGAGATTGAACCCAGGACCTCATACATGCTATGCGAGTGCTGTGCCACTGAGCTGCATCCTCAGTCCTTTTTCATTATGAGACAGAGTCTCACGAATTCCCCTTGCACTTGCAATCCTCCTGCCTCAGCGTAATGAGGCTGGGTTCCTAGTGTGGCCCACCACATCTTGGTTTTTTTGGGTTTAAGGTTTTTTCTTTTAGGTATGTTGAATACAGCTCCTCTTGTTTTTTCTTTTTATTTTGTTTTGATTTTTTGTTTGTCTTTTTCTGCTGATTTGCTTCTGTTGTGCTTTGCCTTCAAGCACAGTGTACCTATGTGCTAATAATAATCTCATACCGACTTGCCCATTGGTACTCCTGAGCATGCCATAATTTTCCTGAGAAGCAGTTGTTTACTTTATATCAAACTCCAGATTTGGATCAGATTTTAAGAAAAAGAAGATAATATTAGCTATGAAAGGAATCAAAAGTGTGAAATAAATACAGAGGCAGTGGAGAGCCTGAGTCATGTGTAAGACAGCCTGTGTGGAAAAGATGGATGAGTCCCTGAGGAGTGTGACATACACTGAGTGCAAGCAATGAGAGGGACAACCAGGAACAAGTGAAAACAGTAGTGATTTCATAGGTGGAGATGTGATTTATTTTCTGAGGAGGAATTGAGAGTAGTTGGGAAGAAAGAGAATAATATTGGGCATAAGGGTACAAAGGATTTGGAAGAATACTTAAGTGATTAAAATGTAAAAAAAAAGGTATCTCAAAAGTGTCTTGAATTCTAATATATTTATTTATGTATTTTTATACTTATATATATTTATCTGTTTATCTATATATCTATATGTATCTTTTCTCAGGAGTAGAGAGAATTCTTTGAATAAACTTTTAGAATACCATGTAGCCCACATAGGATATATCTCCATTGTACTTGCCTCAGTCAATAAAGTATATTGAACTTCTTTCTGAAAAATCTTTTAGTAGCCAAATTAGGTCTGATCTTAAATTACTTCTATAACAGACCTGTTCTTTTAAAGTATTTTAGGCCAAACTACCTTTTGTTATGTTCCAAGAGTCAACTGCAGGGACTATTAGCTATAGAGATTTTTCCTGGGAGGTATTATTAGTGCCTTTCTAGATTATTTGCCTCTAACCTACTAATAAAGAGGTTCATCCAGCAGTCACCCATTTTGGCATAAATAGTAGTGGAGGTCATCAAATCAGGAGGAACAAGTCCTTGAGAAAGTATTGTTTTTGTTTTTGTTTTGGTCTTTATAAGAGAGGGTCTCACTATGCAGCTCAGGCTGGCCTTGAGCTCACTCTGTAGCCCAGGCTGATCCCGAACTTGCAAGGATCCTCCTGTCTCAGACTCCTGAGTGCTGGGATTACAGGCGTGCGCCACCACACCTGGCTCAAAGCATTGGTTTTCAAAGCGTTGGTTTTCAAGCGTATGAGGTATATGAGACACTGCCAGGGTATATTACCCTTAGAGTGGTTCCCTGAGAAGACACCTACTTTACTGCTCACAACGATTACATGTGTGAGTCTGATCCATTATGCGCTGTGTTTTCCTACATTCCAGGTCAGGTGTAAGAAATTCATAGTGTGCTTTTGGTTTCTTATTTTTGTTAGCAGTACCACGTATTGAACCCTAGGATTCTGAGCTACATCCCATCTTTACCCACCACCCCATGCCACCGGGGGTTGAACTTAGGCCCTTCAAATGAGCTATATCCCAACCTTTTTTATTTTTTCTTTTTTTTTTTTTGAGACAGGGTCTCACTAAGTTACTGAGTTGCCCAGGCTGGGCTCAAACTTGCAATCCTCCTACCTCAGATTGTCAGAGGGCTGGATTTGAAGGTGTGTGCCCCGGCATCCAGCTTAATTTTTTATTTTTTATTTATTTATTTATTTATTTTTTTTTGGTTTTGGTTTTTCTCCGGTACCAGGAACCGAACTCACGACCTTGCGCTTGCCAGGCAGGCGCTTTTGCCGCTGAGCTAAATCCCCAGCCCCCAGCTTAATTTTTTATTTTGAGATAGTTTCCTTAAATTGGCCAGGCTGGACTAGAACTTGCGTTCCGGCTGTCTCAGCCTCCTGAAAGCCGGATTACAGGTGTGTGCCACCACACCTAGCTGTTTTTGTTCTTTAGTAGTGCTGTGGACCAGAACCAGGGTTTCAGGCATGCTAGTCAGGGGCTTTACTGCCGAATTCCACCCCCACCCCCAGCACTAATTGTGTACTGAATATTGTCAGCAACATTATTTATTTATTTATTTATTTAGTCTTTTTGAGATAGGATTTCACCAAACAGTTCAGGCTGGCCTTGAACTCATTTTGTAGCCCAGGCTGGCCTTGAACTCGCAGTGAACCTCCTGCCTCAGCCTCCCAAGTGCTGGGATTATAGGCTTGCACCACCATGTCCAGCTCTGTCAGCAACATTTTAAAACACCAAAGAAGTACAGAACATGAGAGCTGACAGAAGCCTCTTCTCACAATAAATGAGAAGTAAAAATCCTCTCATAGATCAGGACATGGAGTTACTTAAAAAGAGATACATCAATAAACACCAAAAAGTACTTCCTATTTTTCCCATGGAGAACTATCTGAACTATATAATTGCAGAATTTCTGTTTTCTCTTATAAAGAAAAAAAATTGTTTTTTTTTTTTTGTACTGGGAATTGAACTCACGACCTTACGCTTGCCAGGCAGGCACTGTGTAACTGAGGTATATCCCCAGCCCCTATAGGGTAAAAATTTCCTTCCTCCTCTTTGTGTTGCTAGGGCATTGCATACAGGGGTGAATAGGGTGTTTAGTACAAAGTTTATACATAAAGAAAGCAGTGCACATTTCACCCTGCTGCCTCTTTATTTCCTTATGACACTTAATAGTTTCCTGTTTACTATTTTTATTTTCTATGAAAAATGGGTAAAGAATAGAAAATGTTACAACACCTGACAAAGACTTCTTGGAAAATAGACTAAATGTTTTGACTTTTAAAGTGATTGTCAAATCAATGAATTATTGTATTAGGATTTGGATAATTAGGTTCAAAATTTTGAAGTGTTAAAATTTAGGTGTTTTCAGGGAGGATGAGTTGAAGGGAGGGTCGGGGAATGGGAAAGAAAGAATCAAGTTATATCATGTACAGGTACAAATTCTCTATGATGAATGTGATTATGTATATCTAAAATAAAATCTGACTGAAGAAAAAAAATAAAATTTAGTTGTTTTCTTTTGTAAAGTGGACACGACCTGTTTTCAAAAGTTGTTTTTTAAAAAACCTGTTTATGTGTGGGCTTCTAAATTTAGAAACAAAATGTAAGATAGTCTCATAGTAACTTATGATTCTGGTCTGCATTTTTTTTCCTTACCTCACTGTTAGAATTGCCAATGCCACTCCAATCCCTGGAGATTTGCTTCGAGAAAATACAGACGAGGTGTTCCCAGACGAGCAGCTTAGTGATGGAGAGAACGGCATCCCAGTGGGTGTGTCCCCGGATAGATTGCCTGGGTCTCCGGGACACCCTCGTCCCCAGGAGAAGGACGTCTGGGAAGAGATGGATGCCAATAAGAACAAGATAAAGCTTGGGATTTGTAAGGTATATATTTACTTTTTTTTAATTGCAACATAGTTCTCAATTTTGAATGAAAAATAGATGGGACATTGTATCATTAGTTATTTAAATAGTCATAATTACAGTGTTTTGGCTAATTTAGCCCCTAACATTCATGTTACAGGCACCAAACATTAATCTTCATTTTGTATGCTTACTATTGTTGTTTTTTTTGTTTTTGTTTTTGTTTTGTCTTTTTGAGACAGGGTCTCCCTATGTAGATCAGGCTGGCCTTGAGCTCACTTTGTAGCCCAGGCTGACCTCAAACTTGGCAACAATCCTCTTGCGTCAGCCTCTGAGTGCTAGGATTACAGGCGTGCACCACCACGCCTGGCTCATTTTGTATGTTATGGAAAAGGTAAAGGTAATTAAAAAATAAGTAGGACTGGGTATGGAGGTGCACGTCTGTAATCTCAGCACCAGGAAGCTGAGGCAGGAGGATTGCTGCAAGTTCAAGGCCAGCCTGGGCTACAGAGTGAGTTCAGGAACAGCCTGAACTATACAGTGAGACCTTGTCTCAAAAAAAAAAAAAGAAAAAGAAAAAAAAATAACAAGGGCTGGACATGCAGCTCAGTGACAGAACACTTGCTTAGCATCTACAGGCCTCTGGGTTCAGTGCTCAGTACTGTGAGAGGGGGAGATGGAGAAGACAAAACGCAAGTTCCATAGATGATACGGTTTTGTCTTGATTAGACTTGCACCATGTGCACCTGTCAGTATGGGGAGGAGATACAAATGTCTGAATTGTAGGGCTACTTTGTAATTTAGGAGCAGATTTCTTTCCCAAACTTTTCTTTCATCTCATTCTTGTTCTTTCCCCATTTGTAGAAGATAAGGTAAAGATAATAGGATGTAGGGTTATGAATTATAAATCAGGTATGTTTGTGTTTAGAAGGTCTGCTTGTGAACTGAAGCTTGGGCTCGTGCTTTAATATGGATTGTCTGAAACTTGGCTGGCCATGCTTTATGTTTGTAATATACGCTAACAGGAATCAACTCATCAGTTCTGAGGAGCTTGGCCTATCTTCGTTAAAGCAAGGATGTTGTCTTAGTGTTTTGGGGTTGCTAAGATGGGTATCCTTAAATGAGTATGTTATGCTAAGATGGGTTAAAATATCCTAAGGTGGACATATTATAAGCTGCAGAAATTTGTTTCTTGGCGTTCTGGAGGCTGTGAAGTCCCAGGTCAAGGCAGATTTGGCGAGGGCCCACTTTCTGCTTCCTGTTTAGTATATTCTTACGTGGTGGAAGAGGCAAAAGATCTCTCTTGGGCCCTCTCTAAGGACATTAATCTTATTCCTGAGAGCGCTATCTCCATGACCTAGCTAATCACCTCCCAAAGTACACCTCCTAATATCATTACTTTGGGAGTTGGGATATCAACTTCTGAACGTCAAGAGAATACAAAAATTCAGAACATTCCTTAGCAAGTACAATACATACTTTTAAGTCATGGGAGTTATTTGCAAAAATGTTCTCTGCAGATATGTGATATGCCACTGTCTGCCCTAACAGCACTTGGGAATGAGTGCTGAAGATGAGATAGCAGGTCAGTAGCACAGGTGTGTGTGGTACTGGGGATTGAATCTAGTGCCTTGTGCATGCTAAGCATGCAGTCTACTGCTGAGCTACACTTCAAGCCCTTTGTAATAGCAGCTATGGCTGTCTTGATGGCACTATACTTTGTGGGGTTTTTTTGTGGGGGGGGTTGGTTTGGTTTGGTTTTTGATTTTTGGTTTTTGAGACAGGGTCTCACTATGTAGTTCAGGCTAGTCTTGAACTCACTATGTAGCCCAGTCTGGCGTCAAACTCATAGGGATCCTCTTGTCTCAGCCTCCCAAGTGCTGGGCTTACAGGCATGCACCATCACACCTGGCTGTCTCAGTTACCATCGTACATGGTTATCTATGTATGTGAGCAAGTAAATTGCACTTGACATCAAGGAATTAACGATTTTACTGTTCTGTCATTCAGGAAAACTGAAATGGCCAATGGTTTTCCCTCAAGTCATTGTCCATTATATATCATAGTCCTGTACAGTTTCTTAAATTTATAATGCATGCTGCTGTACATTACAAGCTCTCTACTCATTTTGAACATCTATATAAAGTACTAAGCCAAATACTAAAGCACAATCAACTCATTGACATCTGGATTTATTCATTCTTTCAAAAATTAAATGTTTAATTTAGTACCTTCTGTTTACAACCCACTAAGCTAGGTGTGTTGTGTGGTTTTGTTGTTGGTTTTTTTGCTTTCTTTTTGTTTGTTTGTTGTTTTGAGACAGGTTCTCTCCGTGTAACCCAGGCTGGCCTCCAACTTGCAGCAGCATCCTCCTGCTTCAGCCTCCCAAATGGTGGGATTATAGGCATGCGCCACTACGCCTGGCTTGTTCTGTGGTTTAAGATTCATCTTTTATCTTTAAGAGCTTAGAATATAGGCAGATTTATATGTATGTAACTAAATATAATAGAGACAAAACATTGTACAAAGCAAGAACATAAGGAATTAGAAGCTGGGTATGGTGGCATATGCCTGTGATCTCAGCACTCAAGAAGCTGAGGCAGGAGGATTGCTGTGAGTTCGAGGCCAGCTGGGGTTACAAGCAAAGCCTTGTTTTTTAAAAAAAAGGAATTAGAGCACATGCAAATATGGGTGGGTGGGGGGCATGCCTTATGGAAAAAATGCTTGAAATAGACATACAGCAAAAATATATGAACATAAATGTGTATGGGTGGGCACTGTAGCTTTAGGAATTTATTGGTCATCTAGAGGAAAATTGTAAATAGCTAATTTTTACCCGGCATAGTGGCACACATCTATAATCACTGCGCTTGGGCAGCTGTGGCAGGAGAATTGCTGAATTTAAGGCCAGTAAGACCTTGTCTCAAAAGCCAAAAAAATAAAACAAAATAGGTATATGTGTCATTACAGAGTAATACATGTAAACCTGCCACTTGAGCCAAGAACTGAAACATAACATGTATATATTTTTTTGTTTTGTTTTGTGACAGGGTCTCACTATGTAGTTTAAATTTGTCATGAACCCACTATGTAACCCATTGAGATATTTTTTAATTGTTGTTCCTGTTTTTAAAATTTCTATTTGTTCAGGTTTTTTTAAATTTCTTGCCCACATCTTTGGATTGCAAATTTTGTTGTCTTGTTTTCTCCTTCTGTTTTCTCTTTGTACTTACTTGGGATTTAACAATTCCGATTCTGTTTTTGGAACTGGATGGAGGATCTTGCACGTCAGTGGTCCCAACAGCTGAGTATGTGGAAGCAGAGGGATCCCTTGTGCCCAGGAGTTCAGGGCTAACCTGACAAGACATTGAGACCTCTGTTTCTCAAAAAAAGAAAGAAGAAGTTGGATAATCATTTTCATTCTATTCTTTTAGGAGTTTACCTTGGAATTGCCTATGTATTTTTGATGTAAAGTCTGAAATTAAACAATTTTAACCTCCTTTCTGATATTTTAAGGACCTTGGGACATTTTAGTCATCCTCCTAGTATTTTACTTCTCTTCTGCTTTTTAAGTCTTCCCTTTAAAAAATAATTACTCAGCTTAGTACTGTGTGTGGTTCATTTGAGTAATGTTTGTATGCACTTTCAAACATTTTTACCATTTCCTTTCATTTCTGAAAGTCTTGGGGTCATCTTCCTTAAACATTTCCTTTAGAAGTTCCTTAAACTTTGAGCCTTTTATTTTATTTTAAATTTTTGCAGTGCTAGGGCTCAAACTCAGGTCCTTGTGCATGCTAGACAAGCACTTTACCATTCAGCCACATTCCCGGCCCATTTCAAGTTTTTGATAAAGCATTTTTTCAAAATTTACTTATCTAAAAATGTGTTTTAGTTTTATTCTTTCAAAATAGTTTATGCTGGATACAAAGTTTTGATTGATACCTGTTTTTCTTCTAGTTTTCAGTTGTTATTATTCAGAAATCTTCTTCCATTCTTTTTTTATTTTTTTTTTTGTCTTTGTTGATGATCAGTTCTCTTTGGACCTCCTAACCCTCACTCTTTCCTTTTCAGCTACTGCTTAGCCCTTCCCTGTGATGGTCTGCATTTTAACTGTGATGTATCTAAACATACATTTCTTTATTTCGCTTAGGTCATCTTGTATTTCCTGAATATTTTGATTCATATTTTTGTATCAGTTCTGGGAAATGTGCATTCATTCTCTACTAAATATTGTCACTTTTTCATTCTTTCAACCCTTTCTGGGGCTCCAAGTAGATATATATTAAGCTTTTTCATTCTGTCTTTCCTATCTCTTCATATATTCTTTCATATTTGGTTTACCTTGTGTTTCACTTTTGGTAATTTCTTTGACTGTGTCTCCTAGTCCATTGATTATAGATTAATAATTCTCTTCATGCTTCCTTCCTGCTTCTTTGCTTTTTTAAATTTTTTTTTTTAATTTTTGAGACAGGGTTTCAGTATGTTGTTCAGGCTGGCCTTGAGCTCATGGCAATCCTCTGCTTCAGCCCCTGATGTTGGGATTACAAGCGTGTGCCTCCACACCTGGCTTTTTTTTTTTTTTTTTTTTGAGACAGGCTCTCACTGTGTAGTTCAGGCTGGTCTTGAGTTCACTGTGTAACCCAGGCTGGCCTCAATCTTGGGATTATTCTCCTCCCAAGTGCTACCCATGGCCTGGGATTACAGGCTTGTGCCACTATGCCTGGTTTCCTCTGTGTGTGTGAGAGAGAGACTAATTTTTAAATATTTAATATTAATTTAATCAGTTAATTCCTTTATTGATTTGTATTGTAATGATTCATTTAAATATTTTGTACATGGCTGTTGTATGCTTTGTGTCTGAATAGGTTTGATATCTGAAGTTTTTGAGATTTTCTAAATGTCATGTTTTAAATTATTTCTGCTGACTCAGTCATTGAGGCATGCCTTCTTCTGTGTTTATCATTAGTGTCTTATTCAGTAATTAATAATTAATGGGAATTCAAAGTGGGCTCAAGGAGCCTTCCTTTGGAGAGGACTGGCTGCAGCGTTCACCTGCTTTGAGACCGCTGGCTCATGCTGCAGGTCTCTCATCAGAGGAGGTTTCTCGGACTTGCCTTGCTTGTTCCTCCTGTGCAAAGCTTGAGTTTTCTGGTAATGGTGCTGCTGAGGCCTCTGTCCTTAGACGGCCTCCTCTCTGCTGCCTCATCCTCAGGTCTGCTCTGCTTACCATTGCAGCCTCCAATCTTCTTGTTTTTGAGAGAAGAAACAAGGAAGGGAATGGGAGGGAGGGACTTGTGTTCTATGACCTCGTCTTGCTCTTACGAGGCCATTTATATCTTTAGCTCAGTAGAGCAGTTATCCGGACAGATATAATGCAAAATGCTAAAGTCAGGCTGGGTGTGGTGGCACACATCTTGTAATCCCAGCACCCAAGGGAGCACCCACCTGTATCTCAAAATAAAAAGGGGAGGGGAAGGGGAAGTAAAAAGCATCAGGAAAAGTTATGTACATGCACCAACTCCCCATATAATCATCAGGTACTGCAAACATGCACTAATCAAATTTTTTTAAAAATAAAAAGAAGGCCAGATGTAGTAATGCACACTTACAGTCCCAGCACTCAAGAGGCTGAGGCAGGAGGATCACTGAAAATTTGAGGCCAGCTTTGGGCCAACCTGAACTGCATAGTAAAACCCTGTCTCAAAAAGGAAATAATAAAATAAAATAAAAAATAGGCAAAGGGGCTGGGGATTTAGCTCAGCGGCAAAGTACCTGCCTGGCAAGCACAAGATCATGAGTTCGGTTCCCGGTACCAGAGAAAAACCAAAAAATAAAAAAATAAAAAAAATAGGCAAAGAAATAAGGTTTGGGGATGTAGCTCAGCAGTAGAACACCCCTGGTTTACATCCTTAGCACTGAAAAAAAAATACAAAAAAATTTAAAATAACTGAAATATAACTGTAAAGTAAGAATTCTTTTTAATTTTTTAAATATGTTGTTATTTTTTGGGTACCAGGAATTGAACTCAGGACCTTGCACTTGCCAGGCAGGTGCTATACCACTGAGCTGTATCTTCAGCTAAGAATTCTGTTTTTAAAAAGGGCTAGCTAGGCATGGTTGTGCATGCCTGTAATCCCAGCACTTGGGAGGATGAGGAAGGAGGATCGTTGTGAGTTCAAGACCAGCCTGGGCTACAAAGTGAGCTCAAGGCCAGACTGAACTGCATAGTGAGGCCCTATCTCAAAAAGACAAAAAAATAAATGAATAAAATAAAAATTTAAAAAAGGCTAATAGGAATGTAACTAAATAAACTACCCAAAATACCCTAATTTTCTTTTTTTTGTTTTTTTTTGTTGTTGTTGTTTTCCTCCGGTACCGGGAACCGAACTCACGACCTTGCACTTGCCAGGCAGGCGCTTCTGCCGCTGAGCTAAATCCCCAGCCCCATACCCTAATTTTCTGAAAACACGTCTAATCATTTGTTTCTATTTCAAAGACTTCATTGATTTCTCCCAGTGAAGGTACCTGGAGTGTTTTTCACACCTTTATTTTCCATTTTTCTAGGCTGCTACTGAAGAGGAGAACAGCCATGGTCAAGCCAATGGTATTCTCAATGCTCCAAGCCTTGGCTCCCCCGTCCGAGTCCGCTCAGAGATCACCCAGCCTGACAGGGATGCGCCACTGGTGCGCAAGTTACGCTCCATCCACAGCTTTGAGCTGGAGAAACGTCTGACCCTGGAGCCGAAGCCAGATACTGAGAAGTTTCTTGAGACCTGGTATAAAATAAGTTTTCTTCCTTTTCAAAGATTCTAGTGTCATTAATTTTTTTTTTTTTTTAGAGTGTCTCATTTCACTATGTAGCCCAGGCTGGCCTCACAATTTGGAAAGATCTTCCTGCCTCAACCTCCAGAGAGCTTGGATAATAGGCATGCACCACCATGCCCAGTATAATTTCTTCTTTTTATTGGTGTGTGTGTGTGTGTGTGTGTGTGTGTGTGTATTAACATTCTTAATAGGAAATTTGTACCTGTATGATAGATCTTGATTCTTTTTTTCTCATTGCCCTCCTGTCCCCTTAACCTCTTTTTCCTTTCTCATATACAAAAGCTTTGTTTCCATTTTATTCCTTCTGTTCTTTTTTCTTGCCCTGTCCTTCCTTTTCCCCTCCTCCCTGCCTTGTTCCTGTACCCATTTGAACATTGTCTTCCCATTTCCCAATATCTATTATACAGCTGGGCATGGTGGCACACGCCTGTAATCCCAACACTTGGGAGCCTGAGGCAGGAGGATTGCTGAGTTTGAGGCCAGCCTGAGCTACATGATGAATTCAAGGCTGGTCTGGACTACACAGTGCAACCCTGTCTCAAGAAAACCAATGTCTGTTATACATTTTGGCCCTTATACTTTCAGTTTCTCACACCAGAGAAACAGTGTGGTATTTAAACATGTGTGTGATTTATTTCATTTGAGAGTATGGTCTCAAGATGCATCCATTTAGCTATAAATGTCGCAAGCGTATCCTTTTTTCTGGCATCCTTCTTTCTTGTATTAAAAAAAAAAAAAAACCACATCTTTTTTATCCATTCATCGGATGATGGGCATTTGGGCGGCTGTTTCCAAGATAAACGATTACAAACTATGCCACTGTAAACGTGGGTGTGCATGTATCACTGCTGTAGGCTGCTTTTAATTCTTTGGGAAAAGACCAAGAAGGGGAATAGCTGGGTTGAATGGAAACTAGTTTTAGTTTTTTGAGGAATCTCCACACTGATTTCCATAGTGGTTGCACTAGTCTACACTCTCACCAGCAGTGGAGAAGGGTTCCTTTTTCCCCACAGCCTCACCAGCATTTGTTATTGGTTGATTTCTTGATGATAGCCATTCTTCCTGGGGTGAGATGGAATCTCAGCATGGTTTTAATTTGCCTCTCTAGAGTGACCAGTGGTGTTGAACATTTTTTATTTATTTGCTGTTTGTACTTCATCTGAGAAGTGTATTCATCTCAAATGTCCATTTTTGGACTGGGTCTTTAAATTTGGGGAGTCTGATTTCTTAAAGTTTTTTATATTCTAGATGTTAGTCCTTTGAGGAACTGCTGGCAAATTTTTTTTTTTTTTTTTTTTAGTTTAAAAATAAAAGAAGGAAAACATTAACACACAGACAGCCTTTTACAAAATAGCAAAAGAACAGTACAGACAATACAGAGTTACAAACACAGTGGTAGGAAATTAACAATGCTTGTTGTATTACATATTGATATCTTCAAAGTGGTTTCTTATGAAAACAGATAGAGACATGCAATATTGAACAATCAGGGACTCATTGACAGTTTCTTTCAGCAAAGAAATAGAA